ACAACATGTAGGAATGGTATGCTCTGTTATCTGTCATAGAGCATCAGTATGGATCCTGACGAACAGTTCCAAATAAAATAAATCCCTCTGATGTCCTTATTTGGTTACTATAACTCTATTGTGCTATGAAATATATTCCCAGATTGTTTTTCTAGCTTCTCTTCATCCCTAAGATTATTTCTTAATGTATAATGGGCCCATATGAAGCTGACACTTGGCACCTTGTGAATTGATGGCAGTTAGTTTTATCTACTGTTGTTTTAAAACTGTATTATTTTGATTTTATGCTATATGTGTTGATGGGGGTTGATGATATAATTTTATGTGACTTGTTTTATACTTTCGTACCATTTTTACCTGATGTATGTTATATGTGCACCCTGGAGTGCCTTGCTAAGCCTCCCCGGGTCTCTTTGGGGAGATGGTGGCGGGATATAAATAAAGTTTATTATTAATTGTAATGATTAATTTTAAAGAGAAAGCTCTATTTATATTGGAGTAAGAGTGTAAAGGTTTGAAATAGCATTGTTTCCTTAAGGTCTCTGGTAAGACATATTGGAAGATTTGTATTTTGTGGTCAGCCTTTTTAAAACTTGCATCTTCTTTGTATAATGTGCAAAGCTGGGGATATCTCTGGGTGGGGTACATGTTTTCCGTTTCATTGAGATGGATCTACGTACTTGCTCAATATTCATATTTCTAACACCTAAATCAGGATGGATTTCATTAATCCAGGTAAGAATGAATGTCTGCATATCTCTGTTTCACCTATTCTGGGATTCCACTTAACATTTATCATTTTATTTTAGAGATATTAACTAGATTCTGAAGTTGGTAACAGACTTTCACCTCACTCAGGATCATTTTATCTTTATTTTTAATCCTTTCTCTGAGGTAGAGCGTTCTATTCATTCTCTGGATGTTCTGAGAATCGTCCTTCTACAAATCTCATAAAGAGCCCATTTCAAAGTCTCTTCATCTATGTATGCAATTTTCTTGCCCTAAGAAGTGCTAACATATTTCCTCCCAAATATTTAATAAATGGATTGTTCATGCCATCATAACACGTTTTTTCTCTAGGAGACTGTGTAAGGAGCCAATCCACAGAGCCATGCCATATCTTTGGACTCTGTGAAGGAGCATCTCTCTACCTGAGCTATGCTGAGCTGTGTGTCCTTCTATTTTTGTCCTGACAGCTTGATCCAGTATTTAACATGATCCTTTCTTCATTTTTCTGCAGCTTCTCCTCTCTTCTTTTCAGGTAGGTGACCTGGCTATTTAGTGCCCATATGTGTGGCAAACAGAGGTCTTGAAGAAGGCAAACAGGTTGCTTACCTCTAACTGATGTGCTTTAAGTGGGCATATTTGTACTAACTCACACAACTCTTCCTCCCCTCACTGGGACTATTTTTTATTACTTCCTGGACAAGTTGGATCTTGAAAAATAGAGATCAGAGCATGCTTCTTAGGGAGAAGTAGCAGCACTACCACAAAAACTGCATTAGCCAAAAGTTTCCAGGTGGTATTTCTGTGTAGGCGCTACCTTTATGTGTTTTAATGCACAGATGGCCACTCTAAAATATTTTTTACAGATAAGCAACTGCTGTACCCTTGCAACAGCCTCAAATCTCACTTAGATGGATAACAATTTTTTTTTAAAAAAAATAACCTGCATGTATTCCTATCAATTTATCTGGTGTGTATTTGTAAGGTGTGATGGTGCATATTCTACAATTACATAAGAATATACAATAAAATACCATGTTACTTCAAATGTAGACATTAGCTTGGAGCAGGGACAAAGGGGAAGTAAATAGAACCATATGGGATTGCAGTACCACCCAAGTCTCAAATCTGGAGAATACAGGTGCTTGATAGTGGTTAATAATACTCTGTTATCTCATACTGCCGTCACAAGCCTATGTGATGTATTTACCTCCTTTTTCATGTATACCGTGTATTCACAGATAGTTTAATCTATCAAATGTGTCTTACTGCATGATAACTGGCCAAGTGACAAGGTTCTTTTCATGAAATGTGCCTTAGATTTATAGTTTTTAATAAAGAACAGACAAGAGTTGCTTACACATGCTCTTAAGAAAACCAGGTTGAAATATGTATTACACTAGTAAATAGGACCTTAAAATGAGCACGATATTGCTAGCCATCACGATATGGTCAGATTTTTACAAAGAAAAATGTTTAGCCTATGTTATATTTCTTTAGGGAGTTCCAAAATTCATAACAGATGTAACAATTTGCCAACTAGTCTACCAGTTTATTTTAAGAGTTATTAATTATAGCCAGTCACTGAAAGTGGACAAATAATATTGCAATTATCTGCCTAAATACATAAAGGAGCCATTTAAATTCAAGCAAGTGAGTGACAAACTACAATGGTGTTTCAAAGCGAATTAACTATGTGCAGGTATATCTTTCATAACTTGTATTTCAATTTATTTATTTCAGTTTGGATTACTGTCAATCGAGCAACTAGAAATGTGATGTCTATGCTATATCTCTTTTCATAAAGTGCACAATCTATATGACTCAGGATGGCATTGAGAGGTTTGGATTATGCCCATCTCTCAGGAAGTGGTTCTTTACTTATGCCTTCCCAGTCCTATACCCCTTTTTCCACACATAAAATCCCATTGTTTACTTTGATCTCGAATATATGGCAGTGTGGACTCAGATAACCCCATTCAAAGCAGATATTTGGGGTTTTCTGCCTTGATGTTCTGGGTTATATGACTGTGTGGAAGGGCCCCTAAAGGAAGGATCTAAAGGATCTAACACATGTAGGAATGTATTACTTATTACAAGAAAAATGGTTCATGAGTAATTTTCAATAACTAAAGGAAAGCAGAATTTCAAGAAAAAGTGACTATACTTGTGATTTTACTATCTCACTTTACCATATTTAAATATTTAAAGTCCGGGAGCATAGAGACACATCATGGAAAAACTGAGTGTAATGGATATTTCAGTGACATATGTAAGCTGGAACAAAAACCATTAGGCTTACAAAACCATTTCCTCTTACAAAAAGCTGTTTACATTATCGTGCTTTTAAAGCATAATAAATTATATCTGCATGAGTAACTAGTCAAGGCGAAAACATGAAGACTAAAAAAGAAAAAAAAGAGAAACATAAATGAGGATTGGAACAACCCTTCTAAAATGAGTATGTTCTTTTCTTCTTTTTTTCTTCCCTCAGCCTCCAGGAATAACTGATCATCATGTAAACACAATTATATTACTGTTTGCAAGCTCACCCCATAAAAACATAAATAACGGGGGATAGTTTGATTTTTGTTCTAAGGAGCCATTTAGGACTGGAAAGTAGAATCCCCTCATTGTTCTAATTAGGATTCAGGCAGCATGTGGTTAAGTCTGCACAAAATCTGGCACCGTATCAACATTTTTGGCAGCTAAACTGGATACTCAGTGAGAACCCAACTTCTCCATTCCATATCCTTCACTACTGAATGCTTTTGGGGAAGATGCTACAGCTGTGTGAAGTATGTGCAGTAGTTGCTAGATGCCCGATTTTCCTCACTCTGCAGCTCAATGCACCAGTCCTGTTACACCAGAATTGCTTTTCCCCCCCTCTTGAATCAAGAGCGGAAAGCAGAAAGGACTGTTACCTAGACTATTCATGGGAAGCTTTTTAAAAAGGTGTAACATTAATGCATTAACATTAATATGCATATTCATGATGAGTTTCCATCTACATGTAATCATGGTTTAACTCACTGACAACAGACATTTCCCTTTGAGCAAACTCATTTGAAACTTCCTAGCTTGAAGTTTGCTTCCTTTGTTTTTTTTCTTATTTACATTGAATGAATAGTATGTTTCTTCCAAACTAATTTCAACTCACATGGTTATAGGAATGCATGGCAAAAGTATTCCAAATTTAAGGCCCTTTCACACAGTCATATATCATGGCAGATAATCCACAATATCTGCTTGGAGGTCGAGATAGGATGGGAAATAAATGTTCCAAATAAATTATCTGAGTCCACACTGCCATATAATCCAGTTCAATGTGGATTTTATACAGATGTGTGGAAGGGGCCATAGTGGTCAGAACTCAATCTATTTTGCTAAGAACTCCTTTGGAAATTGATGCTTCTGTTTGGTGTTTTGTTTTATGTTGATATAATTTATTTGAAAGATTATGTCTTATTTTAATTTTAGATGTTAAGTTATAATTTGTTTTTATATGTTGAGTTATGATTTTTTGCTATTATGTATTGGTTGTTGTATTCAGACATTGAATGTTTGCCTTTTTGTAACTGGAATTTGCCCTGAGTCTCTTTGGGGAGATAGGGCACAATATACATACATACATACATACATGCATACATAAATATTGAGTCCGTTTCACATTAAAGAACTTATCCTGACGCAGTCAAAAATAGCATGACAGAATCTGATGCTTTCTCTTAGTTCTAGCATTCACATTACTTGCTTTGTCTCCAGCAGTTGAGCTGTATGGAGCACTGATGTGGTTCTACAACCATATAAGCACAGAAGGAATCATGAGAACCTTGAAAACCGAAGAAATGAATAGCATCCATTTGTATGGGAAAGAGGTTTTCTGACTACATTCAGAGGAAGAACAAGAGAGCAATAAAGGCCACGGCATAGAGAAGGTGGTGAAATGCGAACTATGGAAAGAGGGAAGATGAAAATCTAGAATGCTTTCATTGCCTCAGCCTTCTGCCAAAAAAGAAAACAGCTCTAAGTGATTAAAATCATCACTAACAGATCTACATATCTGCAAGTGGAATTGCTGATGTCTTGCTCTAGATAGCAGCTTACAATTGCATTCCCTATTCAGAAAGTTGCCCCTTGTTGAAGAGTGTATGTAAGTCGTCTATAACATGCTATGTAAATAGCGATCCCAGGAATAATAAATTCCTCAGTGGGAAACAAAGCTGACAACAGTCCTATATTAGTTAAAATGTCAAAGAAAATAAATCTCTTACTTTAAATTATTTATTCTGGTTTCTGTAACTTCAGTTAATTTTTTTGTTTCCTCCTTCCACCGGTTCGTTGCCTTCTGTTGAGCTATCAACAGACGTCTCAGTTCAGCAGTGGAGTTTTGATTCACGTCTTCCATTTCTTTCAGTTGCACTTCAAAGCCATGCTCTTTTATTAAATGTTCATTCTCCATGGTGCTTATCTACAGTAAAAACAAAAGCCTCACATTTTGGAAAAGCATCTGCTTTTATCTTTTACCATAGGTCTAAACTTTATAAGTGCATCCACATACACAGTCATGCTGTAATTACCTTTAAGAGGTTATTGAACATTTAATTGAGGACTCAAACACACATTGAAAGAATCCATTTTACTAATCCCAGTTAACAAGTTGGGCTGAAGGCCTTTCATTTAAATAACTGAAATTCCTTTGAGGAAACATGCAGATGACTACAACTGATTACCTATGGCAAGTAATAACTGTTTGTAGCCAAACAGATCTTTCATCCTTTACTTATTTCCTCACTGAATACTTGATGTTGTACAGTAAGCATTCCATTTAGTTTCATTGTTTCCAGAGTTAAATCTTGAGACTGTGTATTCTCTCCCCTTCCCATAGCCACTAATTGATCTTCTAAATGGAGGAGACATCATTGTATGGGAGAAAATGTGTCTGGCTCACCAGGATATTCCAAACGGTTAGGGGAGGAAAAGGGCTTAAACGCTAGAACTGAAAAGAATGTGATGTCCTGCCTTATCAGGTAGCATGCAAGGGCTAAACCCAATCACAATTGATTGCTCTTCCATGCCGATCTCTTTTTATCTTTTTCTCATATACACAATGTAAAACGCCTCATCTAATAAAATTATTTAGGCTCTGACAAGCGATCTTTAAACAATGTATATAATGCACATTGATATAACAGGATCTATAGGCAAATATGTGTATTTTAAGAAGTGTCAAAAGAACTAATTAAATACAAATTTGGGATGAGAAAATAGATACAATTGACCCTTCATATGCAGTTTGTGTATCCATGGATTCAACCCTCAACAGCTTGGAAATAGTAAAAAAACGTTTTTCTAGAAGACAAATCTGGATTTTGCTATTTAATGTAAGGGACATCATTTTACTATGCTATTGTTTATAATGGGACTACAGAAATCACAGATTTTGAAATTAACAGGGGTACACTGGAGCCTATCAGCCCACCAGGACCCTAAGATCTTCTGGAGAGTCCCTGCTCTCTATCCCGCCGGCTTCCCAAGTGCGGCTGGCGGGAACGAGAGACAGGGCCTTTTCTGTGGTGGCCCCTCGGCTTTGGAACACCCTCCCTATAGAGGTACGATCAGCCTCCTCGCTGATGGTGTTTCGGAAGAGATTAAAAACATGGATGTTTAAACAAGCATTCGGTTAATCCGTTGCAATGTATATTGATGACTAAAGGACTGGTAATCATGGACGACGAATTTTGGACTGTGATTTTAGTTACGAGATGCATGGGATTATTATTGGTGGCCCAATAATTTGTATTGTATATGTGTTTTATGTTTTAAATTGAATACTGTTTTTAATTGTTGTAAACCGCAATGAGTCGCCGACTTAGGCTGAGATATTAGCGGTATACAAGTGTATAAATAAATAAATAAATCCCATATACCAAGGGCCTTCATATCCATGTAAACAGCTTTCTCCTTCTGCTAACCTATGAGGTAAATTCTGAGGCGTTATGTAAACATTAATACCTTTAATTTGGCTGTTTGCTGTGCCTCCATGGCTAATTTTCTCAATTCCTCCATTTCTTTCTGATATCGTTCATTCTCTTGCTGGAGTTTTAAACACTCTTCACTGACAGAGCCACAGTTCTGTCTTTCAGAGTCCAGAATACTTTGCAACTTTTGGATCATTTCCCGACAACGGCTTATCTCTTCTTCATAGCTTAAAATAAAGGAGAATCAAGAAACAAAAAATGGCATTTAAAGGAAACAAACTATTAATACAGACCTCACAATCTCTGAGGATGTCTGCCATAGATGCAGGTGAAACGTCAGGAATGCTTCTAGAATATGGCCATACAGCCCGAAAAACCTACAACAACCCCTATTAATTCATTATCCATAAATTACTTTAAAGGCATAATACTTGCTAATGCTTAGAAATATCAACCTATTGTGGATCAAATGACTGGTACTTAGCATAAACATGTGTTTACCTATTAGACATAACCTGCGGATTGGTATCTCTTAACACATAACCCAAGATATGACAGCTCTAGATTTTTGGATAGAACTTCTCTGCCAAAAAAAAAAAAGAGGAAAAAAAAGAAGAGTATCGTCAAATACGGACTTTTATGAAGGTCAAGGAAATATTGGGTGGAATTCCATGGTTAATAGATGCCTAACAAAAAAGACAACCATGAAGAGCATAAGTTTATGAAGAAGCAAATAGCATCATCACCAACATTATAAAAAAAAAAAACCATAGAAGAAAAAAATGAGCAACATCTGAAAAAGCCAATGTGGATGCACAGTAAAATTAAGGGTCAAGTGAAAAAAAACCCATGTAGAACAAAATGGAAGGAAGGACAAATGATCAAGGAAAAGTATATATATGTAGCTCAAGCTTGCAGAACAGTGCAAGGGAAGCAAAAGCTCAGAAAAGATACTGGCTGGGGAAGGGGGAAACAACACACTTTTCATAAATGTTTGAAGCAAGACAACGATCAAAGAAGAGGTGGTGCTACTGTTCACTTAGGATGATAAATGCTAACAGATTAAAGGCAGAATTGCCCAATAACTATTTTGCTTCCATTTTTCCCCTCAAAAAGAGATGCTTTCATGCATCAGCAGATACTTGATGCATGTTAATTTTAGAAATGTTTGGTCATTGGTTTTTATATAACATTATTTGATGGAACTTCAATGCTGTTGTTTTATACTTTTATGTTTTATTGTGTTTTTGTCTGTTTTATTGTATTTTATGATGTTCTTATTTTAATGGTTTTTTGTTTTAACGGGTTGTTTTATGTCTTGTGGACATTCTGTCCCATATGTAAGCCACTCTGAGTCCCTTCAGAAAGATGTTGACAGGGTATAAGAATAAACTACTAGTAGTTGTAATAATAGTAGTTGTTACCTTTAAAAGGAATTTAAATTACAAATAAAGATGCATGAGGAGATACTGAGGAATCATGTAATTAACCGAAAAAAGTTCAAATCTTCATGCACAGATAAACTGCATACAACAGCACAGGAAGAACTTACTGTTGCATTTGCTAAACTATTTGCATTATTCATTAGAAACCTTGGTGAATAGGTGAGATGCCAGAGGACAGGAAAAGAACAAGCATTATCCATTGTTTCAAAAAGGCAGGGGGTAGGAGTGACGGATATCAGAGTAACCACAGATAAGTCAGACTGACCGCAATACCATGAAAAATACTAGCATGGATTATAAATGAGCCGGTGTGCAGATATTTGGATGACAATGCAGTGCTTAGTAGGAGACAGCATGGTTTTGTGAAGAAGAAATCTTGTCAAATGAATTTTTCATCTTGAATTATTACTAAATAAGCCAATGCGATTTTAGGCTGAATCAATGAGAGTATATTATTTAGATCAAGGAAAGTGTATCACTTGGAATATTGACAAGTTGATACGTGTCCAGAGGAGGCTGAACAAAATGATAAAAGGTTTAGAAACCATGTCCTAGGTTTAGTGGTCAATTTTTTAGTAGTTTGGGATGAAATTGGGTGGAAGAGAGACTGGGGACAGCTGCATGCACTTTCCCTTGGGAACAAGGTGGAGAAATGACTAGAGAACGGGAGGAGAGAGAGAAGATGGTGCGGATATCTCCAGGGAAGACAGAAGTCATCTTAAAAGTTGTTTCCACAACGCCTTCCCAGTGTTCTTGCCTCATCCCTCCACACCTCCTTCCTTTCCTCCAATTCTGCTCCTTCGGTCCACCCTGAAGGTCCACCTGACTGAATGCACAAGGAAACATATGCATACCTTTCCTTCCACTCCCTCTCCCCCTATACTAGCAAGTGAATGACAAGGGAATGCGCACATCCTCCAACCTCCTGTCTGAAATGTCATTTCAAGCCATTGTGTATCTGTAGTGCTGCGAGATGCTCCACTGTTTGGTACATGGGGGAGGGAGGATGATGATGGACAAATCAGATTCTCTCCCCCTGCCCTTGTTTCTTGCTCATAATCCTGACATGTGAATAGTAGCATGAACAGGCTGCACACCTGTAACTGTGATGTTTCAAGTGGTCTCATATAAATGTGTATTTACATATTAAAAGCTATTCAGAAAGTTACAGTAGCTTTTGACAATAACCCTCTCCACCTCAGATGTACATTCTGGAACAAAAAAGTTATTCCCTTCTCTTTCTTGATCTATTGAAGTTATGAATTTGCAGAGAGAGAAGGGAAGATTGTGTCAGGTCACAGATGATCACTTGAAAAGCCACAGTTACAGGTTAATGGTCTGTTATTCTTTTTCTTGATCTCTACACCTCACACAAGGGGGACCAGCAAACTTATGCCAAATAATGGATCAGGTCAATTGGAGACGGACAGAAGTTTAATGGTCTATTACTAAGGAATACTCACTTAGTCACTGGAGAAGACACACTTTGTGAAGTGGAAGCTAGTAATAAAAGAAGACGACCACTATATAGGTAGGCTGGTTAGATTAAGAAAGCCACAGGCCTGAGTTCGGAAGAGCAGCTGATGACCAAGTTTTCTGGAGGTGTTTTATTCAGTATTCATAATTTGAAACCAACTTGATGCAAATAACAAATTACTTTATACTTTTTTATTTATTTACTTCATTTCTATCCCGCCATTCTTGACCCTGAAGGAGACTCAAGAGAGCTTACAAATCCGGCAAAAATTCAATGCCTTACACGTAAACTATAAAAAAAACTCATAAAAATATAAGCAATCTAAGTATATAAGCAATGAAAATACATATCAATCAATCAGATTAAAACCATATAAAATACCGAGGAAATTATACTCCAGTTCCATCATTGTCTGCAATCCAAAGAGCCACATAGATAATTCTATGTGATCAGTATGCAAAGGACTTTGTAGTACCTTTGAAACGGAGAGAAAGAATGTAGCATAAACTTTCATAGACCTAAATCTCAAAGATGTACCTAAACCTTAAAATAATTCTTTACATTAACAGGAATGTTTAATAAAAACAATGGATATAAAAATGTACAAGCAGAAAAATCTCAGTTCAAAAGGTTTTACACAGAATAACTACTGAATAATGAAGCCAATGCCTGTTTGCACACAACTATTTACTTACTTCATTTCCAAATGTTTGATTTTGTTTTGTGCTGTTTGCAAACTCAGCTGAAGCTCATCTTTTGCCCGTTCAGCAATCAGACTCCTTTGGTAAAGTTCTTCTTGTTTTCTGTAATCACTTTCATTTCCTCTTCTTTCATTGTATATCTATTAATTCATTCACACAACAACTTTTATCTATTATTCTTCAGTTAGAAAACACGTTTTTCATCCACCTCAATGTTACTTTAATTTAAAAGAAATGGGAATCTGCAGACTCCAGTATCTTGGGCATCTGTAAGGGTTCTACTGTTTAATTGAAAATTTTATTGATTGTGTTACATTACAAACTTAAATAGAATTATTGTGTGAAAATTACACAATGGAAAAGAATGTTCACCTTCGCTAGTTCATCTTCCACTGCTCGTCTTTCTCTAACAGCCCGCTCAATTTGGCTTTGCTTTTCCGCACATTCCTATCAGGGGATCAAATAGTGAGCATTCTTAAAAACAAAACAAAACAGCAAGTCCTGGACAACTATATTTCATTTCAGCAAACCATTAAGATATAAAAAAGCTCTTTACAAAGAATGGCAAATGTTAAAATGCTCACCTTCTGCTCTTCCATAATAACATACTAAGGCATTTTACCCTTACCTGTTAATATATCCTGAAAGGATGCTGATATTTTATGTCCTGATTTCTCTGCATGCCAAGAAGTCCAACAGTACTCATGAATAGCATATCCTTATTTCTCTAGACAGACTTTTTCTTTATAGACAACAATTGCTCACTGGGTGAGTTTTCTGGGCTGTATGGCCATGTTCCAGAAGCATTCTCTCCTGACGTTTCACCCACATCTATTGAAGGCATCCTCAGAGGTTGAGGGGTCTGTTGGAAACTAGGCAAGTGAAGTTTATATATCTGTGAAATGTCCAGGGTGGGAGAAAAAACTATTGTCTGCTTGAGGCAGGTGTGAATGTTGCAATTGGCCACCTTGATTAGTATTTAATGACCTTCAAAGCCTGGCTGGTTGCTGCCTGGGGGAATACTTTGTTGGGAAGTGTTAGCTGGCCCTGATTGATTTTTGTCTGGAATTCCCCTGCTTTTGGAGTGTTGCTCTTTATTTACTGTCCTGATTTTAGAGTTTTTAAAGTATTGGTAGCCAGATTTAGTTCATTTCCATTGTTTCTTCCGTGAGGCGAGAATGCTTATTGAACATGGCCATACAGCCCAGAAAACTCACATCAACCCAGTGATTCTGGCAATGAAAGCCTTCGACAACAATTGTTCACTTTCTATGTTATTGTTTTTGGCCCCTTCCACTTTTGAAAATCTCAGAGATTTCTCATTATGTATGTACACAGAAATACAAGTATTCAAAACTCCAAACTTCAAAACACTTCTGATCCCAAGAGTTTTAGATAAGGGATACTCAGCCTGCATATCAATGCTGAAAGTCTGTAGGAGGCCAATTCACTATTTTCCTTAGAGCCAGAGTATTCCTTTGCATTTTTCAGAATCAGAAGAATATAACTGGAAATCCTACATCTTTTCCTAATAATCTTATGACATTGTGCCATATTCCTAAAACCACAGACAGTAATGTCTTTACTGTGAAGCATCTATTAAAGAAATGACTATTTGCTTCACTGATTGCCTGCTGAAACTAAAGCCACTGAGTGGAGCAATGGATAAAACGGTTTAGCATTAGAATTTTGGTCTCCTGCATTGCTCAGTGGCACAAGGGATTTAACCCAATGGTTGTGGATTGTTCCTTTATCCCTCTGAGAATCAATAAGTGCTTTGTCTACACTGGAATCCCACTTCAGTGGAGCAAAGTCTTGGAACTCTTCTGATAACAGAATTTCCATACTACTAGAAACTGGTTTCATCAAACAGAAACTGCTCTCTGACCCCTTTCTGATTTTGTGTGATCATCTTTACCTAATTTGTTTTTTGTGATTCATACATTTTAGGCATTTATAATCTATAATTTATAAAGGATAGGCTTAAAGTTCTCATTACTAAGCCTTCAAGGAGCCCTCTGAATCAGAGCAAAACTGTCATCATTACTGTCCGGCAGAATTGCATTGCCTGTATTATTCATGTCAAACGTAGTGTCTGAATCATCACATAAATCTATTGAACATCACTTTCCTCCTTGGATGGCATCTGATTATCTTTTGCTAGAACCTTTTTGGAAACAGGCTCTTCACTTACACTGAATAGCATAACTTCCCCTTGAGCTTTTTACCCTGCTGGGAGAACAAATATACACTGAAATCTGCAGAACCTGTTAACGTTGCATTTGAATTAACTGCATCTCCTTAATTCCTTAATTCACATTAAGCACCAGCTAGTTAAGCCCCTGGTGGCGCAATGGGTTAAACCAGGGGTCCTCAAACTTTTAAAACCAGGGGCCAGTTCACTGTCCCTCAGATCGTTGGAGGGCCGGACTATAGTTTTTTTTTTTTTTTTAAAAATCAATTAAAAAATTCCTATGCACATTGCACATATCTTATTTTGCTGTGTGGAAGGGCCCTTAGAGGGGATTCTTTCTAGCCCTCTTTAGGCAGTAATTCCAGGAGCAGAGAATGGGAAATCTTCCTATTTCTAGTCTGAACAAAATCTGGCTACCAGTATTAAAAAAAACTCTAAAATTATAACTGTAAATAAAGAACAACACTCAAACACAGGGGAACTCCAGACAAGAAACAATCAGGGCCAGCTAATCACCTCTCAACAAAGGATTCTCCCTAAAAACTGCCAGGCTATGAAATGGTAATCGAGGTGGCCAATTGAAACATTCATACCTACCTCCAACAGACAATAAAGTTCTTTCTCCCACCCTGGATTTTTCACAATTTTCCTAGTTAAAGGTTTTCCTCTGACATGAAGTCCAGTCATATCTGCCTCTGGGGTGTGGTGCTCATCTGCATTTCTAAGTCGAAGAGCTGGCGTTGTCCGTAGACACCTCCAAGGTCATGTGGCCGGCATGACTGCATGGAGCGKCGGGGCAGCCTCCCTTGGCTGGCTCACGCTGCCCATCGTACCCGATGGGCAGCGTGAGCCTGCAAAGGGAGAAGCAGTCCCGTGCGGCCTACTGGCGAGTAAAGCACCTCGTGAGGTGCTTTACGCGCGAGTAGGCCACGCGGAGCAGCTGCCCATCGGGCCCGATGGGCAGCATGAGCCTACCAAGGGAGGAGCAGCATCGCATGGCATACTCACGCGTAAAGCACCTCACGAGGTGCTTTACGTGCGAGTAGCCCGTGCAGAGCAGCTGCCCTTGGCTGGCTCACACTGCCCATTGGCCCTGACGGATAGCGTGAGCCAGCCAAGGGAGGGGCACTGTGAGGGGGGGGGTGCTCCTCCTCTGCGGGCTGGATAAGTGTCCTTGGCGGGCCGGAAGTGGCCCGCAGGCCATAGTTTGAGGACCCCTGGGTTAAACCCTTGTGCCAGCAGGAGGTTGGCAGGTCAGAGGTTCAAATCTGGGGAGAGCGCAGATGAGCTCCCTCTGTCAGCTCCAGCTTCCCATGCAGGGGCATGAGATTAGCCTCCCACAAGGATGGTAAAACATCAAAACACCCAGGCGTCCCCTAGGCAGTTTCTCAAGTTGCTCCTGACACACAAAAAAAGGTAATTAAAATTATATATGCAAGAATGGAGTTGCTAATAAGAAAAACCAATTCTCAGTTACAATCTCCCAATTAGTCATAAGTCTAATCATTTTTCTGAATGTCAATAACTCTGAACATTCCAGCAGCCCTACAACTGGCATTGGCAAGCACTGGAAGAAACCGCTGGCTACTCCACTTGGGCTAATGTGAACATAAATTGCAGAATGATTTAGAAAGACTGTTGCACATCCATCGGAACTCCATGTTGTGAGAGAAAATTCCACCCTCTTGCTTTTTTGTGGTGTTTAATAGTGAAAATGAAAAACAAAAAAGCCCCATAACATACCATCTGAAGTGCCGTAAGTTCTTCTGATAACTGGGAAATCTGCATGTTATATCTTTTTCTTTCATTTTCTACCTAGTTAAAAAATAGACTGATCACTATTTCAATGGCTGAACAGTACATTACTAGGTTAAAATAGATATGTACAACGGGATTAAAAGAGTGACATGTACAGAAAGATAATATTAAAAGAAAAATTGTAGATTTCATCTATGCATCACAATATCAAATATGGCCTAAATATTAAATTCAGCCCTATGTCCTCAATCAAGTGTTCATAAAAACACAGTCATTTTCATACTAGCCAGAATGGTCCATGGTAAAGGGTTCTAGGAGATGAAGTCCAAAAATCTAGAGAACCCAAGATGGAGAACCCCAGTCCCAACGTGCAAATGACCAGTATAGGTTTCATGTTGAATGTGCCGTCACACCTGGGGGCTATTATTCTCAATAAAGGAGGGATGGACGTGGCATCTTTCCCCCAGGGGATTGCTTCTTGCCCTCCTATAGGAAACTGGAACTCTCAAAAACCCAAAAACCTAAAAATAAGTTTTATTGATCACAAAGAGTTATTTCTTAAAGCAATGAGCTGGAAACTTTAGAGGGGTGAAGGAAAATATACGTTACAGTCTTAATTAGTCCTGGGTCCAAGGTGTTTGAAGCCGAGAAGCCTCACCAAGTTTCCTCTTTCCTCAATGGCTGTGAATGCCAGAGCAACCCACAACCCCAGTTCAGATGGCCTATGTTTTGAAGACTCAGGATCTTCTTTTGGTGCCAAAAGAACCGGTTTGAAGGCGCTTGGGTCTCCTCAATGTTGTCCAGGACGATCTGGACATAAAGCATGAGTCCCAAGGGTAAAAAACCTGAGTTGATGCCAAGAGGTAACTTAAATCAGGGTCTTTTAGAGTCAAGTCTCTTACTCACGTCCATATGAGAGTAGGAACTCTGATGGCAGAATGAGAAAGAAAAGGAAGCTCTCCCCTCCTGCAGGAAGAGGTGGAGCCAAACAGTACTGATTGACAGCTATAAGTAACCAATCCATACAACTATACATAAGCAGGGTAAAAGGGGCAGGATTAAGCATGATACAACAGTTTAAACCTTGCAACTAACAGTTCTACATATAGGTGGCGCCACTCGCTTTGAAAGTAAGACATACAGGAAACATCTCTTCCAAAATATATGTAATAGGAAACACTTAATATCACTCATTGTTTTGTTGTCCATATTATTATAGTATTTTAAAAGGCATAGATAATGCAATGATGGAAAATGTCTTTCCATTTTTCAGAAAGTCATGAAGTCATATTGGAATCAAAGACCTATCTGTGAGGACGCATTTGGTTTAGTGTTTCAGAACCTACTAGGGGTCAAAAATGATTTCAATGACAACATTAGTAAGATTTATCATAATATTTCTGTCACAGTAGACTTTTAGGAAAAGGCAATAATGCTTGGTAAGTGGAAGACAAAAGAAAAAAACATGTTACAGCTGGAATGATTCACCGCAAGATCTGGGTTGAGGATCTTCAAAGACTTTCATTCACAGGGTTGCCATAATTCAGTCAATTTGACAGCAAATAACAACAAATGCCAAGACATCTGCTGCTGAATTACAACTCTGCTAATTCTTGGATATTTAAATTTATCTGCACTGTATCTATAATGCTCTGTTATTTCAGATTACTTCCCAACATGAAAACCACAGAATAAGAGGCATGCCCTTAAAACTGTTACAAGGAAGCTGATAGTATTGACTACACTGAAGTACAGGAAGATACATATACAACATTAATTTACGACTGTCACTTTAGGTTCCAAAATCCCACTAATTTTATTTACAAGGGAAAGAAAACAGAAATTAAGCATGACTCACTTCTTTTCTAGTTCTTGAAGCGGCATCCTGAAGCAACTGAGAAACCGCTTCCTTCATGTTTTTTATTTCCTCTTCTTTTTGTTTTTCAGCTATCATTGCCTGTAGTGGTGGGATTAAAAACAAACATCCCAACAAGCAAGTCACTACAATGAATAAATTTTTACAAACTTGGAGGACATTTTTTATGGAATAGAAAATACAGTTTCTTAACTGTACCAAAACACTATTGAACCAACATGCTCTTTGAGTTTTGAAAATGTTTTCATCTCTTACTTGGATTATTTTAACCAATGTTAAATTTGTGCCGTGATTTTATAAAACTTAACTTTTGGTTACTCCAATAGCGTAAATACTCTTGAGTGTAGCCCAAGACCAATGCTATCCATCTGGATTTTCAGGCTTGCTAATATATATTTTTTCTATTCATAAGATTTCAGTATCTTTCTAGAAGAAACGTATGTGGCAGTTTGGTAGTAATAATTGCATATGCCACTGGTATAGACTTCCTGACATTATTCTTTTATAAGAGACATATTGTTTTATCCTTGCAGAGATTACTTGTATAATAGATTACCTCTATGATCTCAAAAAAAAAATCACAGTATGTAATGCTCATTAAAATTATGATTTATTAGAGAGGTTAAGATTCTTATTCCTGAAGTGCTATGGAGAAGGAGCTTTTTATGCGATTATCCCTACTATTATCCTTCAGAGTGTCAAACTGATTCATCACAACAAATCACAAAATCTTCACTTCTATGGAAGAATGCATGCCATTATTGGGTTGTATTACTAACAAAAAATAAAAATGCCCCAAATTATAAAATTTTAAAATGCCAATATTAGAATGACAGAATGGGTGTTCTAGGGAAGATCTTCTATTAAAACTAATAAAAGATTAAATAGATTGTGGAATATTTTCTTCCAAATTGGTGAATAAAATGTTTATCTCAAGGTGTTTATATATTTATTTCCCCAAAATCATTCCTAAAATCTATGTAAGTCGAAGACTTTCATGTAACTGTTATTTGACTGAGGGCTTCTAGCCTCCAAAGGCTGCCCATCCTGATATACCACAATGTGCACTGTCAACTCATTACAAATAAATGAGTCAGATCCCTTTAATAAGGTTTTTAAAATGGTAATTCAAAATCCAAAACACACATTGGTGATACCTTTATTAGGCTGATCAGAAGGTGCAAAAGCTATTATATTGACTTTCAAAGCTGACTATCTTTGTCAGGTGAAGACAGTAAAAAAAGGATGCAGGGACAACAAAAGTGATGCTGTTGGAAAAATGTGTAGATCTGCATACTTTGATTTTGGATTCTAGAGTTTTCATACAGGCAGAAAGTAAAAAAGGAGAGGTCAAAAATAATAGGGGCAAAGACTGTAATAGATGTTGTCCTACGCTTTCAAGTAATTTCTTATGTATGACGAGTCTTAAGGGTTGCCTTTTCCTTCCTTCCTGGATTGCCCAAAGTCACACATGGGTCCATGGCAGCAGAATGGGAATTCAGTCCATGGGCTCCCAGTGTCCGAGCCAAAAACTACCATCAGGGCATAAAAGGCAGCCATGAAATTTCATTTCTCCATCTTAGCTAAAGTCTCTCCCTTGAGATCTGTTCTGATCCACTGAAGTGTGCTATATTCTATACTACTTCTTCTGCATTCTATACCACTCAGATTTTCATGGGAATTCTGACCACAGTGGGGAGCAAAAAGATGGAAAGTCCGATAGGCTTAATCAAATTACATAACATTCAGATATGCAAAACGGGCCCTTTAGAGCTTTGCTCACCTGACTCTTTTGCAGATTAGCTTCTTCTAAGACTTGCAAGCTATCACGGACCTTTTCCACAGCATCGTATTTCTCCTTTTCTATTTCCACACACTTTTTTTGTAGCTCTTGGATTTGCTTTTCTAAAGTTGAACTATTGGTCCTTAGCTGTTCAGAATCTTTGGTGGCTACACAAAGTCTGCATATTGAAACAATGACCACTTAACAAAGAGGATCTAAGTCTCATCAAAATTGAATCTACAATTGCTGTCAGATTTTGTAACCTAGAGAGAACACAATGCAGGGCATGGATCAACTTCTCTTGCTTATATAGGATTACTATCTAGAGATGGTCCTCAATTTTTCTCTATGTCACGAAACCTCAATTTTAGGCGTTCAGCAATGCTTATTAGCAACCTCGCTACAAAATTAATGGGGACAGCAAATTCTCCCAAATGAAAGTACATGTTCTGAACATAACAAAATATTAAATTGCATTTCCATGTCCCAGGTGAAATCTTTCTTCTATAAGAAAACTTATTGAAGAGCACCAAAATAGAAATGGTGAATGATTCATTTAATGTAAGCTACATATAAACAAAGGTAATTCACACTCAGTAGAGAAATCATTTTCGCACAGTGAAATGTTAAAAACGATTTGTCATCTCATCTGAAGCAATGAACTAATGAAGCACAAATTAAGGACAACAGTTATCTATTTGCTGTGAAACCATCAAGGGTGACAACACTGCCCTGGAATCATGGACCTTATTAAAAATTTTCTGACTTCAACAGAACTTCCAGTTCAGTATGGTTCAGGTCACACCTACAACTTTGGCTAATGTTACTGACAAGTAATTGAAGCATGGCATACAATTCTTTTGGTTCATATAACCTGGTGCATGCCAAGAGACTACTGCCTGGTACAAAATCTTGCATGAAACAAAAAGGACTCAATCTATCCAAGCATAAGCCAAACTGATGGCCAGTGCATTTATAATGCTGTACCAACAATCACTTTAGACTCAATCCAGTCCAATCTTTTGCTTTTCCAAATGAGCAACAGTGATGATCAAATGTAAGAGAAACTTCAATTTGCTTATTTTGCTAACCAAAAAGCTATAGATGGTGCAATGGTATATATAGGGTTATGTCTCTGTTTCATGTTATCTCACTTTAATGTAATACAGATGGAAGGAAGGAAAGAAGGAAGGATGGACGGAAGGGGCAAGATGGCACCAAATTAGGAGGGATAGTTAATACCTCAGAAGACAGGGTCAGAATTCAAAATTACCTTAACAGATCAGAGAGCTGGGCCAATTCTAACAAAATAAATTTAAATGGGGAGAAATGTAAGGAGCTACCCTTAGGTACAGATATAGGATGGTGACACTTGGCTTGACCACTATCTATGTGATTTAAGAATCTCAGGACCCATTTACATGAGTCAAACGAGTTGATATGGGGGTGAATAGACTCTCTGATGGCAAAATGATACACAGGGGTTAATTGATCTCAATACAGCCTTGTCCCACATTAAAAGAAGCTACGGGATACTCTGAAGCTTCCAAGATTTTCTGAAACTTGGCATGTTTTGGGACAGTGTAAACAGTTATGTCGCTTCCTAGGCACAGGGGACAGCACCAGCCTTATTCTGTCATTCTGGGCTTTGGGGTTCCACTGTATAACTTATTATTTTAGCCATTCGGTTATATTATAAGCAACCTTGGGTCCCATGTTGGGAAAGGCAAGGACATAAGATAGATAAGATAACTTAATGTCCTACTTCGTCTCCAGTTGTTTTATGCTAGATTGCAACTGCTGTAAGCGTTTATCAGATGCCTCCTCTCTCTCTTGAGCAGCTAACACCTCTTCTTCCTGGAAGACACAGAAGTCATTCAAACAGTTTCATCAGAATGTAATACAAGTAGGTAAAAAATCCACATAATTCTCCTGTTGCAATAGCTTAATTGGTTACCATTCTGTTTATGAGCACAAAAGTTCTGGCAATGGTTTTTAAAGCCATATAAAGCTTGGGACAATACTATTTGAAGGATTGGAATTGCTGTTATGAATTCATTAAAGCCTGAAGACTCTACTCTCTGCTTCACCAGCTTCTCAGGTTTGTTTGGTGGGAACAAGGAAGCGAATCTTCTCCGAGGCGGACCTCAGATTTTGGAACTCCATCTCTAGGCCTGGATGGTTCCATCCTTGCTCTCTTTCTCCCAACAAGTTAAAACATTTCATGCCATCAAGCTTGGAAGAAACTGGAATGGCTTTTCAATGCTGTTTGGTGTTATTTTTAAGGTGTACCTTTAGCTTTTAAGTAAATTTTAATGGTTTAATGAGCTTCAGTACTTTTAACTTTACAAATTGTTCTTCAAATCAATTTGACATTGTTACCCTTATTGATGTTTTTGTATAGCGTTTAATTTCTATTATTTTAAAATGTTGCTAGCTGTCCTGTGGATAAATACTGGGACAAAGGCAGGGTATAAATGCGTAAAATAATAATAATAATAATAATAATAGCAGCAGCATCACTCCCACTACAGGTTCCATTAAAATAAACAATGGCTAATTATTTAAATTTTAAACTAGAAACGATAGTGTACCTTTCTGGCTACTTGGGAACGAAGATCCTCAGTGAGTCTGAGCATTTCATCAACCTTTGACACAGCTGTTCTCAAGTCCAATTTGGATTGTCTGCATATAAAAAATACCATTTTGCATCTTTGATCCATTTGCTATATTAATAACTTGTAAGTATGCTATTGAAACCACTTTTGTGTTGGAAAATGGGTACCACAGTGTCTGTGACCAGTTTATCTTACAGAAAATATACAACTGCACTGTGCCCCTCTAAAATTATGCAATGCCAGTGTGGTTTACTATACATATTTTTCCGTGTCAGAAGCTACTTGAGAAACTGCAAGTCGCTTCTGGTGTGAGAGAATTGGCTGTCTGCACGGACATTGCCCAGGGGATGCTCGGATGATTGATGTTTTACCATCCTGTGGGAGGCTTCTCTCATGTCCCTGCATGAGAAACTATCTATAAAAGCCTGAACAGAGTTGGGAGTTTCATAGCAGATTTACAACTTAGCATATAGCTAAGAACATTCTGAAGTCAATATGCAGAAACCTGCTATATTGCTGTGCTTATTTCTGCTATACACAGGATGATCACTCTAAAATATTTATTCACTTTCATTCATTGTTACTTATGCAATGATAAGCAATTAAAGCTTAAGCAATAAATTATTTAAGTTTTCCCCCTGACTGAATGATACAAGCGAATGCCACTACTGCATTTTTAACTTATCATGCAATTTAGGAACACATCTAAATCAACTGTAATATGAAAGTGATGGAAATGTAATCTTTCCTTCAAAAGTCTGTCTTGAACCATTTCACTATTTTATTTGAAGCTACATTTACTAATGTCATTCAAACTTGCAAATACACACAAAACATAATTACAAGAGTTTTAACAAAGCATGATCTAATTAAAATTAGACATGTCTGCAAAGTGTAGCTTTATATATCCTATTTTCAACATATAGAGACAGTATCATTCTAATGTGTTTGAACAAGTGTGGGCAACCTCTATTATAGCATGGGATGCAATGCATGCGGCTGCAGTGAGCAGCTATTCATAAAAATAAGCTGGTGGTTTATTGTTACTGTGATATTAACAAAATATTGAACAAAATAGAAAATTATCAGAACTCCTAAAATGGAAGTAAGATTTAAACGTCCCATTTATACCTCTGCTGTTTGCGCAATTGTTCCAGCTCTACATTCTGTTCCATTACAGTCTTCAGAAATACTTGATTAATCTAGAAGAAAAATAGTTAAAAGTACTTCACATTACACTGAAAACACCTAAGGGACCTCTTTTAAGAAGCATGCTCATTATTTGATATCAATAATCTATTTCATGTATCCTCTTTTAAAGTTATGTGAATATCATCTGTGTTTTAAGTAACATGATTTTTTTAAATGTCTGCAGAATTTGTTCCCTTGCCTTATTCTGAGGCTATGAGGTTATGACTTTTGCTCAGGGTCACCTAGTAAGTTTCCATGAAAGAGGGAGGATTTGAACCCTGATCTGGCTCCAAAAAAGAACATCAGGCCATAATAGGTAAATCAGTGTTGTTTCACATGGGGAGCTGATGTTGAAGACATTTGAATGACCTTAGTTTACAGAGCAAGGACAAGTTGTGTTCTCTAATGACACTAAAATGGAATAACAATGAAGTAAAAGATACTGCACAGCAACTGATAACTACAGTACAGCATATAATCTATGCAAATTAAAAACTGACACTTCTACAGAAAACGCATGGAATCCATTTGAGAAATGTCTGCATTTGCTATTTCTTCTTTTATGAGATAGATTAAAACAGTTTCTGATGATATGATAATGGTTCAGTGTTTCACTTACTGACTCTGTTTTATCATTGGCTAAATACAGTTGTTTTGTTAGCTGCTGAAAGCTTGTCAATTGATCCTGAAAAGAAGAATCAGAGCATGCAATTATAATATCAAGGATTTATCATGAACATAGAAATGAATTTTCAAGCTTAACATTTTAAACATTTGAAAAATATTATACTATACACATTACCGCTTGGCTGTTATTCAGAATTCTCTGACAACCAGTTAGACATTTCAAATGAAATACACAAACAACATACAAGAATAATGGTGCATTGTAACCTCTATTTTGTCTGTGTGGGTGTGAGGCAGAGACTGAATAAAACACCTGCATAATACTACTTCAAATAAATGGCATTTTCCAACCAGATGTGTTGTACATAAATCAGAACCACTAGTTCTTCGTTTTTATAAGAACTGAGCAAGTCAATGGAAAATCATTCTGCAATCAATCTGAAAATTCTAAGGCTTGCTTTACCATGATATAGAAGACATTCTAAATGTAAATATTTTGCCAAACACTTTCAGCCTTTTTGATATTTAAGGACACATTATGTTACATTCTGAAGAGTGTCTCAAATGTGGGTGGGGGTGGTGGGGATACTTTTATATTACACATACATATATAAATGTTGTCTGGATTAAAAACCACAAACATCACCTTCACTTGGGTCAGAAACCTTGTCAGTCACTTGTTGTGTTACCTCCTCTTTCTCCTAATTTATTCTGCTTAATTCTAGTGCTCAAGTTGGAACAAACTTATGCACTCCATACTCTTCTTTCCTCATGTACTAGCACATGGGCATTCTCTGTGACTCTTTTGAATTATCTGGAGAATTTTGGGCCCTGAAGAGAATCATCAGTTGGAGTTGGCTAGATGTCTGTTAAAAACAATTGCTGTCTTCTCTCTAGTGCCCACATATGGCACATCAAGCTAGAAATAGATTTAAGTAAACTGCTGTAAATACAAAGATCTTGAAATGCACAGCCACAGGGCTGTTTTAGCATTTATGCCAAGTTTCAAGATGCTATATTTCATGGTCTTGTAGGCTATGCTGTGAAGAAGGGGCAGGCAATTTTAGTAGATGAGATTCAAATGACATTTTAATCAAATTACATTTTAATACACAGGTGTCAGAATAATCCAAGTTACTTTTTGATTCTGTTTTTCAACAATATGAATCTGTGCTTCTGTCATATGTTCTTGGTATATCTGCTGAAGCCGCCCCAATTCCTGTGACACTGTCTGCCACAGTTCTAGGACATGTTCTTTTTCCTAGGAAAAAACAAAATACACAAGAGTTATAGTATACAGAAGCTGATAAGCAAGATGACTGACAATACACTGCTACTTGCCTCTCAAATTAATACAGGCACACCACAATTAAGACAGCCTCTGACAAAGACACTTTTTATAAAGTCTTTTTCTACATGCCCAGCCCCTCTTCTCTTTGACTTCTATATAGCTGAACATTTTTAGCAGTATCAGTGCTGAAATAAAATGAAAAAAAATGACTGAAGAAACACAGATTTTCAATGCAGGTTGCAGTGGACTACCTACACTGAACAATGCAATGAAGCTGGAAAAAAGCAGGATTCTACTCTAACACAATTTACTATATCCACGTGTACCTACTCCACACAAAAGTAAACATGAATTGCTTCCAGATTCCCTCATGAAACATTACTGAAGAGCATAACAGAGAGTAAAGGAGAAAGCAGATAACCCTGTCTCATCAGTTACTCTTGTCTCCAAATATACTTTATTATTTCTATGTTATTTCTGTATCTGATACAGAATATCTGTTAAATTAGTAATGCCCAGGGATAAAAGTACATATTTAACTGAGATACACTTGTACCACTTTAACCATGATTTATACATTTTCTATAGAGCAAATCAGAAAATCCTGGAATTAAAAAGTAAGTTTTTAAAAAATGACAAAATATTACTTGGGGCACATATCACATTCAGTAAAAAGAAGGAAGATGCTCATGGCAGATTCTTGATCTACATAATTCAGCAAACATTCTGAAATCTAGGGCAGGGCTAGTGTTCACTCACTTTATTTGCTAGTTGCAGTTGTTCTTGAAGATTTCGTATTAGATTTTCATCCAGAAATGCACCATCTTTTGAGGTGGAACCAGATGGCAGAGACTCCAACTGCTTTTCAATAGCTTCTTTCAATTCTTCGTGTAATCTAGGTAACAAGTTGGCAGGCTTAGATCAGAAGGCTTCTGTGAACAGAAATGATCTTTCTACTTATGAAAAGCAAATTCTGAATCCAAACAAGGTGGTTCAGGGAACGTAAAAGCATTCAAATTACAATTTCAATTGTTCTCCATGGTGGAACTTGATTCTTATCTTATTATATCTGGCCTGATCTTAGATATTACTGGTCTCTGCTGTGAACATATGGTTTTAAAAAACTAAGTTTTATTACCGACTGAAAGTCAAGTATTTCAGGGGGCAAAAAGACAGCTTATCTGATTTTGGAAGCTATGAAGGGTCAGCACTGGTTGTTAGTACAAAGATGGGAGACTGCTAATGAATACCAGAGACTACAAGTGATATTTCAGAGGGACTGGCTTAAGAAAACCCTATGAAATTAATGAGGTTGCCATACATCGCCTATGGTATTCATGTGGTCGCCATAAGTTGGCAGTTCTTCTGCCTATAAGAGAAGAAATTAACTGCATCAAAATTCTAACATACTCAAAATGTGTTCATTTGTCATTTCTACATTACCCATAAGCAAATATATCAGAATGGTGAATAAATCTCTTATATTTTGGAATTCATGTTTTTATGAGAGGAGGAAACAAACATGTCTGAACTGTAGCATTAAAGCATGTCTTTCAAACATTTAAACAGCTTTAAAATTATGTTTAGGGTCCTGACAATTATGCCAGAGAATATTAAGTCCTACTAACTGCCCAGAAGGGAAGCATATCTGGGAATATGGAGTCATGGAGTTTAAAGGGACCATGACATAGGGAAACATAACAATCATGCTTCCTATTATCTGACATTAACCATAGCTGCACAAAATGAGGCTTACTCCTGAGCAAAAATGTATGCAATTTTCCTTTATGCTTGAAAATAAAGAACTCAGGTTTATTTGGGTTTGAGGATGCTTATAAAACACAGCATAACATATATCTATGTCAGAGCTACCTAATCCCATTCCCAATTGAGATTAGGCTATACATACATACATACACACACTTTTCAAGAAAATAAAAGTAAAAATCACTATTAATAATAATAATAATAATAATAATAATAAACTTTATTTATACCTTGCCACCATCTCCCAGGGGGACTAAGGGCGGCTCACAAAGCACTCAAAGGTGCAAACACGCAAAATACAAAAAGTGCAAAGACAATAATGCAAAAGCAATAACAACCAACATAAACATCAAAAACCCTGGTTAAGATCAGTAAAATGTAACAATAGTTGCAGGAATAAAATGAATCAGGCTCATAAAGTGCATTACATTCCCAAGAGAATATTCTTCTGCAACTTGTGATGAAAGAAAACCCCTCATATCTGATTTCAAAAGAATAACATTTTTCCATTCCACTATCAAAACTGTTGACACACCATGTCAAATCAGTGAATCTACCTTTCATTTTCTTTGATGACTTGTTCAAGTTTGAGTCTCATTTCTCTCATCTGAAGCTAAAGAAAGCAATGAAAAACATAAATCCATTTTTTCAGCAAGGATCACCATGATCATTATGAAAATATTCGGTATGTCACAACCATCACATAGATGCTTTAATACTCATGACAAAATTGCACAGGTGGCCAATGACAAAATTCAAGAAATAGAATACATTTTCGTCAGAATATTTTACAATTCAGACTTAAGACAATATTCTTTACAATATCTAGTATATAATTCAGAAAGATACCAAAATTCACATCATAGCTCTACTTCGTACATCACTAACTTTTAAAAGGTTAGTTCTATGAAGCTGGTGATAACAATAAGAAAAAACAATTTACAAGTAGCATTCACCCATACCATCAACTAAATTTTATGTATGCTTTATACCTGGCAATATCTCAGTTCTTTGTTCATTTCCTCCAGATGGTTGTCATACTCCTCTACCAGAGGAGATTTCGCACTAAAATTGACATTAAAAAACAACAACATAAAGTTACTATCATTACTAAACATACATAATTTTGAAACAGACAAATTTCCATCCCATAGTTTCCTCAACAAACTAGGGAATATTACTTGAAGCAGAATATTCAAATACTAATCAAAATAGGGGAAGAGATGTATGAAAATATTCTCTGACATCTGTGCCTTTTCACTCTTTTTACTTGTTCTACAGTATTTGCTGTGAGCCTCATATTTCTTTGTTCCTCATTCATACTACAGAAGTCAATCTTTCATTCCCATGTTCATAAAACACCCTGTATGTTTTATGAGAAAACTCCCCCTTTCCAGATGTAATTCAGCAAAACCATTAATATGCTTACTGCTTCAAAACTCTCCTTAGGTGCCAACAGGTGTGAATACTAATGTATAGGCCCAATCAATATGGGTTCAAAAGGCAATCATCTAACATTAGCATCACAGAATATATAACCTGTTCATTGATTAGAGTTGGTGGCATTATAAATAATACTAGGCTAAAATGAGTGTTCTGCATTTCAAAAACAATCAACACTCTGTGAAAGTGAACATGTTTTGGTGAGCATCCGGGAAGTGTGTGATCTGGAGGACAAAGCATTCGACTTGTGCAATTCAGCCAAAAGGGTCAATTTCGAGGTCCATTTTCGGCCAAACCCTCATTCAGTTTACTGAGAAGTTAATCAAATTGGGAGGAGTGTTGCCATTTTCATTCAGCAAAAATTTGGCTCATTGGCTACCATGGGAAAATTTAAAGGCTCAATTTTCTGTCATTTTAAGGCCTATCTACATGAAACCTACCTCAGTTTTAGACTCCATTTACAAATGCAGGCCTGCCAAGTTTCAGAACAATCCCCAATCTACTGATTTTTTAAAGAATTATTTTAAGTTTTTACAATAACACTTTAAAAATAAAGACACCACAAGAGAGGGTTTTGGGAATTGTAGTCGCTGGTTGTGTCCATACTTAACTAATCAGAGCATGGACACAACCAGACCTTTTATTGGCTGAGAAACAGAGAGAGAGAAAAAAACTTCAACTCCTATCATGCTCCAAGAGGAACTCAGAAAATTTTTCAATGCCCACCCCATGCCAGTGCTGCTGAGAAAGTGAGTTCCCAGCAGGGCCCTCTCTGAAGGAGGAGCCAAGGGAACTTTTCCAAAAGAAATAGACACTTTACTGCTGGGGGAGAAAAGACGCTGCAGGTTATCCCATCTTCTCCAGGAGCCTCGCGACACACCCCTGACTCTGGTATATTTCAGACTTAACTTCATCCTCTCCAGTAGCGAATAGCTCTCTTGATCCGTTTTGCCCAGCTTTTTGGTTCCCTTTTCCCCGTTGTTTTTGGGGGATAAAATGAAACAGACCACTAATATTACAAACCACCTTCGGTCAAACTGATCCAGGCACAAGCCTACAAAGCATTGCTCTTTGAATCCACAGTCATCAGACTTCCTCTCTTGTACCACCTGTCGTTTAGAGGAGCTGGTCAGGAACATGGTAGACATACAGTATCAAGCCTGCACCTCTTCTTGCCAAACTGCTTGCCAAAGGAGAAAGATACATAGCACTAGAAAGTATAACTTGACTTACAGTGGCATTTACTACCTTCAAAATGATACTTTCACTCCAATATCAAATCCAGTGAAAATTTTAAATCTTGCACTAAATACTGGAAGAAAAAAATATTGGTCTGCTTCAGAGGATACCAACAGCTACAGCCACTATTACATTCAGGTTTATTATGGTTTCACTCACTGCAGTTTCTAAAACGTGAATTAATTACGGAACTTTAACACAGGTCGTGTATTTCCCAGTAACAGCTGAAGGCATTTCTGGAACAGCAGTTTAGGGCCAGCCACCAGTGGGATGGAAACCAACACAAAACCGATTGCAGATGTAGTTATACTTAAAATACAGTTCTTATCAATGGGATTTAGGTCTGCCTCACTAATTTCAGGATCAACTCTAAGCATCATTAATCATGGATGCTTTCTTATTGGAGAAAAGTGCCTTCTTATTGGAGAAGGAAAAAATGAGCTAAAACCAAAACCTAATTCTGTCTCATGGCTTTATATTTAATTATGTCAGATTAGCCTGTTTACCTTTGTTCCATCAACCAAGGCTCCATTGTATTATCGGGTTCAATAAAAAAATTCTGAAACAAAATTATTTCAGTTTAATATGGTACATTTATATGTAATCACTCAGACAGATAGTTTGAAGTCTTTATATAATCTCAACATTTTAAATAATCTGACCATATAGTCTTGCTATTTTACTTATTGAACATATACTTAAATATATCCCTCATTATTTTGTTTTTACACTAAAATATTAAATTATTTCAGTTCTTCTGAACACAAATATAAGACTCATTGCAACTGTTCTTAATTAAATTGTGCCAAATGAATCAGTATGATTTAGATAAATGCTATCTTATCACTCAGATATACATTAAATGACACTACTATAATTGGGTCCAGCAATTCTATTTAGACAGTACATTTCTTCACCTTTATTTTGATTCCCATCATATGATGAGATAAAAAAATACACATAAAACAGAAAGGTTTATGCAAAGATGTACTAGTGCTTTAAGATCAACATTATATCTTTATGGAGCAAACAGAATGCCGGCTTCTTAAATATTCATGCTCTAGATCTGATAATATGCTGCTTTAAGAAAGATTTGCATCACAAAGTAAAGCAAGTGATATACTTCAAAATACACTGTAATGGTTTGTTATATGCTTCCACTTCTCTTTATAAAAGAAAGGTGCTCTATCAACTTACCAACATAAGGCATCAACTATTTAAAAGATCTAAAACACCAAATTCTGACAGAATTGCACACAGAACTTACTTTGATCTCCTGTAAAATCAGTTTCTGTTGTCATTCTATAACTTTATCAGGAAGTTTTGGAGGAAGGATTCAACAGCTGCTTTTTAATATACTAGAAAACATTCAAATCCTGCAACAGACAGAAGAATATAATTTGCCACTACCAAAATAACCTACTTCCATTATCTAAACCAAAAATGTGCAAATCGTACATATGAGTTACCCAACCCTCTTTGAATAATAACTTTTACCCCAACATATCCTTTGGAGGCCACATCGATATTTTTGTTATGCTTTTTGTTACCCTGGGGCATTTTAAGTACTAGAAAATCGTGTTAAAACATAAAGTGACAAAATGCCCCATTTTTCACGCTGGGCTTTTTTGAGGCTCCTCTTGGGCCTAAATACGTGGTTAAATCCCCTTCTCGCCCTTAGGAGGCATTTGGGTTAAAACTCTGTTCCACCTATTTTATTTTTATCCCCCCCTCCCCCGCTTTTTAAAATGTAAAACATTCGATTATTGATAAGAAAAGCATAACAAACCCCATATTCAGTACAACCACCATATCCATGGGGGGGGGGGGGGATTTCATTCCAGACACATAGGAATACCTGAAATTGTGGATAATAGCAAACCCTATAATTTTACTAGAAGCATACAACAGAATCCCACTGGAGGATTAGAGAGGCCCATAAACACTTCCAGGGACAGTGGGGAAGAAGGTTTTCTTGAGCAGAGTTGTAATGGCCTTCAGTAACTCATTACAGTTCAACTAGAATATGCAAACACCTAGAATAGAAGTAGATAAAAATGCTTTTTCCTACATAACTGGACAACAAATTCCTAATATAGAGATGAGCAAACTTTGGGCCCGGGGCTTAATTCTTCCCAAACCTGGACAAACCTTTTTTTGGCCAAGTGAAAAGTGAAGTCCCTCACATGGAAGTCTCTAGGAGTGAGGATTTGTCTGTTAAATAGACTAATGTTTCCCTTTCACTCTTAAAATAAAAACGCTCTCCTTTTCCAAACTCAGAAATGGACTGGCCACTTCTGGCTATCTCTTCTCCTCCCAATACTAGGCATTTTCAGCAATCACTGTGGCCCACAGAGGCAGAAGATTGCAGGGTGTAACACACTGATAGTTAAGAATGATTAAAAACTACAGATTCAGACCGCATCTATGAATATGCACGTGCTTATTCAAGCTGTCAAAAGTTTATGATAACACAAAAAGAAAGATGCTGTGCCCATCCTTGCTGTCCATCAACTCAAGCATGCATCTTTAATCTTAATGAATTCAACTGACCATTTCCAAAGGTATTTTTCCTGTCTCTAATCTGGCAACATGAGACCCGAGGATATCCAAAAGAAAGTCCTTTGGAAATGTCAGTCACAATGCTAACCCCTATTGGGAAAATAACTCTGAAAGAAGATCCTCCCCTACCACACAACAAACAGTCCCTTAGAACAGTATTACATAAGATGGTGGTCTGTGATTGAGTATTATTGGCCTTTAATCCATGGCAAATATCCATGAAAGAAACAGTCTGTAATCAATGGAAATCCTGCCAGTCCCTCCACCTCTGATAGCTCAAGAGGCATTGCTCAGATCAATGCTATTCAAAGCAGTGGTTCATGTACTCATGGACTTCAGTCAGCAGTGAACTTCCAGGGAAGTCAATGGGCACAAACATGGCATAGGACCCTGGCACATTGGGGAAAATATTCGAATCCTCCACATCAGAGAGCTCAAGAACACTATATCAAAAACAGATCTCACCTGCATGAGGAGCATATGTATGACCAATCCATCACAGATTCTGATACAATTCCTTCCCATCTCTGGAAAAAAAACATTATTGTTTTATTTTTCCAAAAGCATCAAATATAAATATCTGGGAATAGTGGTTGGTTGCCCTTGAGATCCCTTTTACCTACCAAATGATCCACACAGTACATGGGAGCTGATGAGGCTCTCTGTGCTTTACTATTTATTTATTGTGTCAAGAGCGAACCAAAACAAAGTTTGGAGACTTGGCATTCTATTAAATGTGCTTTACTTATGAATAATGACAAACAATACAAGGGTACTATTGCCTCCTGCATGTAGGTCTGCTGAGTGTATATAATTTAATGAATTATACCCCTCTCTTTGGCAAAAAAAGGTAATTGAAATTCATGTAAATGTGTTTAAACGTGCCTGTGTCTGTAAGAGTCTAAATGATCTAAACTTGGCAGTAGATCCCCTCTGATGTTGGAATAAGGCAGGGTCGGTCCTGGTTAGTACTTAGATGGTAGATTGCCAAGGTGCTGGAGGCTATATATTAGAGGAAGGAACTGGCAAAACAACCTCTGACAACTTTTTCCTAAGGAATTCTAGCAAAATGCACACTGTAAGTCAAAATTGACAAAAGTTCAATCTACACTGTAGAATTAATGAAATTTGATACCACTTTAATTTGCTCAGGGCCCCCTGGTAGCGCAGTGGGTTAAACCACTGAGCTGCTGAACTTGCTGACCAAAAGGTTGGCAGTTCAAATCTGGGGAGCAGGGTGAGCTCCTGCTGTTAGGATTAGCTTCTGCCAAGCTAGCAGTTCAAAAACATGCAAATGTGAGTAAATCAATATGTACCTCTTCTGCGGGAAGGTAGTGGCACTCCTTGCAGTCATGCTGGCCACATGACCTTAGAGGTGTCTACGGATAATGCCGGCTCTTCAGCTTAGAAACACTGATGAGCAGTACACCCCCCAGAGTCAGACACAACTAGACTTAATGTCAGGGGAAACCTTTACCTTTACTTAATTTGCTCACTGTTATGAAACTGGATTTACAGTATGGTGAGGAACCAACACTCTGGCAGAGAAAGATAAAAGATCTTGTAAAACTACAACTCCCATCATTCGATAGCTTTAAGCCATGGTGGTTACAGCGATGTCATTAATTCTACAGTGTAGATGCACCCTTGAAAGCAAATACACAAACCCACATACACATATATTCATCATACTCCAGAGCTGAGGAAACAGACATTTCTTATATTATATTATTTCAAAATAATTAAAACAGAAGTTAGAGTCTTCTTCATTTTTGTGGTGCCATTGTATTTACTTCACAATTCCTCACAACTTGGAAATCTCCGTGCAGATCCTTAAAAAATAAAGGCTGTAATAGTAAAGACATTTACCCATAATTCCAATTTAACTGGATATATTTATTTATTGTGTCATCAGCAACCAGACATTTGTATTACATTTTTAACAAAAACAAACAAACAGAAAAACACAGAATTTGCAAGCTTGGTAGTTGATTAAATGTCCTTTGACCAGTATCTGGCCACTTGGAGTGCCTCTGGTGTTGCCGCAAGGAGATCCTCCCTTGTGCATGTAGCAGGGCTCAGGTTGCATTGCAGCAGGTGGTCTGTAGTTTGCTCTTCTCCACACTCGCATGTCGTGGATTCCACTTTGTAGCCCCATTTCTTAAGAAGTGGTGTAGGGCGCAGACACCCCGTGATAATGTGGCATGTCTCATTAAGAGCCACATCCACTGTTTTAGCGTGGTGAGATGTGTTCCACACCGGGCATGCATACTCAGCAGCAGAGTAGCATAGCTCAAAGGCAGATGTGTCTGGTTGTGATCCCCAGGTTGTGCCAGTCAGCTTTTGTATGGTATTGTTTCTAGCACCCACTTTTTGCTTTAAGTTCAGGCAGTGCTTCTTGTAGATCAGAGCACGGTCCAGAGTGACTCCCAGGTATTTGGGTGTGCTGCAATGCTCTAGTGGGACTCCTTCCCAGGTGATCCTCAGAGCTTGGGATGCTTGTTTGTTCTTAAGGTGAAAGGCATATGTCTGTGTTTTAGATGGATTAGGGATCAGTTGGTTTTCCCTGTAATAGGCAGTAAGAGCACCTAGAGCTTCAGAGAGCTTCTGTTCATTTAACTGGATGAGGGACTTACTTCTGGACAGAACTCTGGCCCCTTCCACTACTTACTTAGGCGATCCCTCGTAGTCTGAGGATTTTTTTTTTTGTCCTGTCAGGATTGACTCCTGTTGTGAGAGAATTGGCCGTCTGCAAGGATGTTGCCCAGGGGATGCTGATGATTTGATGTTTTTATCATCCTTGTGGGAGGCTTCTCTCATGTCCCCGCATGAGGAGCTGGAGCTGATAGAGGGAGCTCATCCGCCTCTCCCTGGATTCGAACCTGTGACCTGTTGGTCTTCAGTCCTGCCGGCACAGGGGTTTAACCCACTGCGCCACCGGGAGCTCTAGTCTGTGATGGTCTCCCAAGTGTCTACCTGGAAACCGATGGCCTCACTGTGGGAGAAGATGCAGATCAAGAATAGGGCTCCACAGACACCTACGGACCCAGTGCCAGGATACTACACTTGAGGGACCAGTCTGAGGATGATGGTCCCCCAAGTGTAGTATCCTGGCGGTGGGTCCGTAGGTGACTGTGGAGCCCTATTCTTGATCTGCATCTTCTCCCACAGTGAGGGCATTGGTTTCCAGGTGGTCCCGGTCGGCTTGACACGCCTTCCTCTTAGCACATTTCTCTCTTTCGCCCTCCATTCGTGCCTCTTCAAATTCTACAGCACTGCTGGTCACAGCTGACCTCCAGCTGGAGCGTTCAAGGACCAGGGCTTCCTAGTTTTCAATGTCTATGCCAGAGTTTTTAAGGTTGGCTTTAAGCCCATCTTTAAATCTTTTTTCCTGCCACCAACACTGAATTTTCCATTCTTGACGGGAAGGTCAGCGGTGCACCCCCCCCTCCTTCCCTCCCCCCCCCCCCCCCCCCCCGCCCCCCCCCCTCCCCCCCCCCCCCCCTCCCCCCCCCCCCCCCCCCCCCCTTTCCCCCCTCCTTCTCCCTCTCCCCTCCTCCCCCCTCCCCCCCCCCCCCCCCCCACCCCCCCCACTCGGGCATTTTCACATATCTCTGTATCCCAGAATACCAAGGGCTGTGTGGAAGACCCCCCCCCCCGTTCAAAGTATAGAGCAGGAATGGGCAAACTTGGGCCCTCCAGGTGTTTTGGACTTCAACTCCACACTTCCTAACAGCCTACCGGCTGTTAGGAATTGTGGGAGTTGAAGTCCAAAACACCTGGAGGGCCCAAGTTTGCCCATGCCTGGTATAGAGGTTAAACAGCATTTCAAACAGCATTTCAAACAGCCTTCTCCTTACCTCATGTGGACATTCTGGAGAAGGAGGAACAATCCTCACGGCTCTCCCTCTGGAGTTCCTCACAAGAGAGACCGTTAAAAGCCCGCCGGATGTTAATTCCTGAGGCGCCGACTAAGACTGGAAGGAGGTTTCCCCTTAGACCCGCCCCCCATCCGCTCTCATCCAATCAGCGACGCTTCCTCAAGAGGACGGCACGCGCCGCCGGCTGCCTTACCACAACACCGGGCGACTTCCTTAACGACCGACCTGGTTTTGAAAGAAAAAAAAAAAAGGTGAAGGACAAGACGCGTGACGTCACGCCCTCAGCCCGCCTCCAATCGTATTCGAGGGTGCCTCAGAGAGAGGTTTTTGATTGGTTTGGGGAAAAAGCCACGTGCTCAAGCCTTGTCCCCGCCCCTCAAAAAGGAAGAAGCGACTAAGAAAGAAGTAGAAGAAGGGGGACTGGTGTTGGTTGTTTGCAATGTAGGTGAATTAATGCAGTTTGACAGCATTTTAAACTGCCACGGCTTAATGCTATGGAGTCAGGAGAGCTGTAGTTTGGCCAAAAACGCCAAAAAGACTTTGTAAAAGTAAAATTCCATAGCATTAGGCCAAGTGGTATCAAACTGCATCAATTCTACAGTGTAGACGTGCCTCTTTGACATTTAACAAAATGTTAGGAATATTTAATCATTATTAAACATATATTAAACGTTGCTAAGTTAAGAATATTTATCCAAATGGCAGTTAAATGAATTTTAAATACAAACTTGTGTTAGAAATATTTAAACATTATTAAGCATATATGAAACGATGCAAGTTAATAATATTTATCCAAATGCCAATTAAATGAATTTTAAATACAAACTGGAAACTTTATTTTCATAAAGATTTTTTAAAAAATACATAACTTCTTTTAAAGTATTTTGATCAGTTAAAAATAATTAATTTTGCCTAATTTACAAATTTATTATTGATTTTGAACTTCCAATTTCATGTCTAATTTTTGTTTGTGTATTTTAATATGTATTGTATAATATAGTATATTGTATATACATATAATATTTGTAATATTATAACGTAATACAATATAATACTAGCAATAATAATACAATATTATAATTATAATTATATGTTTTACATGTAATATTACTAATAATATTACAATATAATGGTATAGTGCAATATAGTAATATATAATACTGATATTGTACTATGCTAATAATATAATATATTGTATGAAAATATATATTGTAAGCCGCTCTTGAGTCCCCTTCGGGGTGAGAAGGGCGGCATATAAATGTTGTAAATAAATAAATATTGTATATGAATCCGTTTTAATATCTGTATTTTACAGAATGTTTATGTGTGTTTTGGGTTGTTGTAGGTTTTTTTCGAGCTATGTGGCCATGTTCTAGAGGCATTCTCTCCTGACGTTTCACCTTCATCTATGGCAAGCATCCTCAGAGATTGTGAGGTTGTGACTTCACAACATCTGAGGGTGCTTGCCATAGATGCAGGCGAAACGTCAGGAGAGAATGCCTCTAGAACATGGCCATATAGCCTGAAAAAAACCTACAACAACCCAGTAATTCCAGCCATGAAAGCCTTCGAGAATACATTATGTGTTTTGATTGTGTGTTTTAACAATATTGTAACTTGCCTCGAGCCATGAGGAGAGGATAGTAAGAAATAAAATTATTATTATTATTATTATTATTTAGATGGAATTTAAAATCGAACATCAGTGGAATAGCTTGCCAATATCTCATGAGCCAATAATAATCAAGCTGACACCAGAAAATGCAGGAATACTTATGGAAGTGAGTTCTCCATTTTTCAATGATCCTCCAGCTCCTCCTGGCGAGTTAGGAAAACCATTCAATGGACTGTGGGACTATGAGGGTAAGTGATGCCTTTGGGTTGCTGTGAGTTTTCCGGGCTGTATGGCCATTTCCCAGAAGCATTCTCTCCTGTCATTTTGCCCACATCAATGACAGTTTGTGAGGTCTGTTGTAAACTAGGTGATTGAGGTTCATATATCTGTGGAATGTCCAGGGTGAGAGAAAGAACTCTTGTCTGAGGAGAGTGTGGATGTTGCAATTGGCCACCTTGATTAGCCTTACAGCTTCAAAGCCTGGCTGCTTCCTGCTTGGGAGATCCATTGTTGGGAGGTGTTAGCTGACCCTGATTGTTTCCTGTCTGGAATTCCCCTGTTTTTTGCATGTTGCCCTTTATTGACTGTCCTGATTATTTAAATACTGGTGGCCAGATTTTGTTCATTTTCATGGTTTTCTCCTTTCTGTTGAATTTGTCCACATGTTTGTGGATTTCAGTGGCTTCTCTGTGTAGTCTGACATGGTGGTTATTAGAATGGTCCAGCATTTCTGTGTTCTCAAATAATATGCTGTGTCCAAGTTGGTTCATCGGGTGCTCTGCTATAGCTGACTACTCTGGTTGAATTAGCCTGCAGTGCCTTTAATGTACCTTGATTCGTGTTTGAGCTCTGCGTATGGTGGTCCCTTTGTAGACCTTGGTTAATCCTTTGTAAATATATTGTGTATTCTGATAGCACCTCATTTGCCATCAAATTCACGTCAACCTGAGGCAATATAAAGGAGAGATCTCCAAAATACTCATGTCATCAATAGCCTTGTATGCGTCTTGCAAATTGAGCACTCACAACTGACTTTTTTGAATCAATCCATCTGAAATGTGACCTTTCTTTCTTACTGTCTTCCAGTTTTCCTAGCATTATCACTTTTTCCAGTGAGTCATGCCACCTCATAATGTGCCCAAAGTTTTATAGCCTCATTTTAATAATGTTGGCTTCAAGTAATAGTTCATTTGCTCTAAGGCTTGTTCTTTTGGCACTCCATAGTATCTGCAGAATTCTTCCCCAGCATCATATTTCAAATGCCATTGATTTTTCATCCAGCTTTATTCATTGTCCAGCTTTCATGTTCATCCAAAGAAATCGGATGTACTATGGCATGGATAGTGCTGACTTTCATCTTTGCACATGAGGATCCTATTGAGTTTCTCATCTATATAAATAAAAATGTAATGTTCGTTTGTGGGATTAACAGAACTCAAAAACCACTGGACAAATTGATACCAAATTTGGACACAAGACACCTAAACAACCCAATGTATGTCCTTCACTAAAAAATAAATAAATGATTTTGTCATTTGGGAGTTGTAGTTGCTGGGATTTATAGTTCACCTACAATCGAAGAGCATTCTGAACTCAGCCAATGATGGAATTAAATCAAACTTGGCACACAGGACTCCCATGACCAACAGAAAACACTAGAAGGGTTTGGTGGGCATTGATGTTGAGTTTGGGAGTTGTATTTCACCTGCATCCAGAGAACACTGTGGACACAAACAATGATGGATCTGGACCAACGCTATACAAATACTCAATATGCCCAAATGTGAACACTGGTAGAGTTTGGGGAAAATAGAATCTTGACATTTGGGAGTTGCAGTTGCTGGGATTTATAGTTCACCTAGAATCACAGAGCATTCTGAACCACACAACAATAGAATTGGGCCAAACCTCCCACACAGAACCCCCATGACCACCAGAGTGGGCCACAGCAACGCGTGGTGGGGGACGGCTTATTAAAAGTTTTTCGAAACAAATTATTAAAATGAATTTGGGTAGAACTGGTAGGTAAGATGGGTAAAGGGAAATACAGGGTGGGATGGTTAGAGAATTACCTTTTTCTCTGATGGCCATATATATATATATATATATATATATATATATATATATTTGTCCTTCCCCCTTTCTATAATCTAAAGTCAGGATCCTTCATTCTTTCTGCTCCTTTTTAATTTAATGGACCATCTAATCCTGTTGCATATTCATATATTCCTTAAACAGTTTCCAATCTGTTGGGATCACAGGTCTCCCTGTGTTCTTTCAATAAAAACGTTAATCTGCCCATGCCCATTATTTCCAATACTTTATCTTGTCGATGGTCTTTGGTTGGTAATTCATCTATTTTCCATTTCCTCACGTATGTCATTCTTGCTTCCGTCATCAAATACATAAAGAGAATGTCCTTATTTGCATCTAATTCAGTATCCAAATCTGTTAGTCCTAAAAGGAAGTATTCTGGCTTCAATTGGATTTTTGTTTTTAAAATCTTCTGGCATGATTCTTGTATCCTTTTCCAATCGTATCTTGCTTTTTTACAGGTCTACCACATATGGAAAAAAGTTCCTTCTTGGATACCACACTTCCAGCATTTATTCTGTATATTCTTCTTATACATGATCCCCATTTTTATGGGGTCATGTACCACCGGTAGAACATTTTATACCAATTTTCTTTTAAATCAGTTGCATATGTATACTTCAACTTTTTGTTCCATATCTGTTCCCATTCAATTTGTGTTATTGGCCTACTTACATTTGTGGCCCATTTAATCATACAGTCCTTTACCAATTCATTTTCTGAGAACCATTCCAGTAATTTATTGTATATTCTAGTTATATTTTCTTATCCTTTTGAATTCTAATATCCCAAAAGTTATCTTTATTACTGAAGCCTTTTCTGTTGAGTTTCTTCATAGCTGCCCTTCCAAGTCTTAGGACGCACGGGTACTGTAGAATTAATTCATTTTGACACCACTTCTTGCCAATTGAAAACCATTCTAAGATACTCATAGTACAATTCAAATTTGTGGAGTATTTGCAAATACTCTTATATAAAAAATGTGGTCTCTCAGTTTGGGTGCATTTTTATAAATTGAGATTATATTCCACTTTTCTTACAAAGTGGTTCTATTAGGGTTCTGTGTACATCATTGAGACCAAATTGGAGAATTAGCAATGTGAAATTTTGAGTTCTACAACTGTATTATCTTTACTGGTAGACCGCAAATATATGTTTAATAGAGAGGTAGGATTGTTATGAACTGAGTTCCAGAGGCGTTCTGGATGGATTTTTTGCTCCCTCCCTCACTTCTGTGTGTAGATGTTGGTTAAAGAACAGAGATTTATATCTCTAGCAGGCTCAATTATCCATTTAATCATTATTCCCAGCACTGTAGTGAGAAAAAACCCTGGAACTGAAGATATCTTTTGGGGGTGCAGGAAGACCCCCTAAAATGGGAGGATGCAGCCTTGGCTATTCTTATGGGACCTGTGTGTATTTGTTGGATGCAATTTCCCTGTGCATTCTCCTTGGGGCTCCTGAAGAAGAATGCATATTTTCCTGGATGTAGAAGAAATCATCTTGTAGGAGTTATTTTTATTTCATCTTTGACTTCAGGAGATTTCCTAATGCATTGGGATACAGCAACGAGATTACTGAGTACCCTTTTTATACACATGGATGAAATTCCTTCCCAGCTCCCACAGTTGTTTCACATTCAGTTCACTGCTCTAGAAGTTCGTGGCATCAGTTTCTTGTATTTAGGTTTTTTCCTTGGGGCCAGTGTTGTGAGTGATTGCTCAGTTCTATTCAATTTCACCTACATAAGCCCTTGACAAAAATCCCAAAGCTACACATACCTGATTGACAGCTAATACCAGTTAGGAAAACTGTTATTTTCTACAGCTGTGTCCAATCTAATCTAGAGGGGAAAATCATTCTATTGTCTCTATGTTGCACCGTAACTTTTAAAAACCAATCTTTATAGTAGTTTTAAAACCAATGTTCAAGCTTATGGTAGTTATAGACATTCACAAAATGTTTTGAGTGGAGGAAATATATAGTCTAACCAGTGAAAAATTAGAGTAGAAAATAAGAATTTAAAAATACAGTCCTATACATATATATTCAGAAGTAACACCTATTTGTGGTTTACTTCAGGTAAGCAGCCACAGATTGCAGCGTAAATCTGCAGTGCTGTGCACATTGGGCAATAAGACATACTGATCTTTGTAAGCTCTACATCTAAGTAATCATTTCTGCAATTGCTCTGTAAGTTTAATAAAATTGGTTTAACAAATATGTCTTTTGGTTGTTTTTTTAGTTGTAGAAGCATTCTTCTTGAATGGTCAAACTGAGCAATACTTAGAAGTGGAGGTGTGCCCGTAAGTAAACATTTAAGAATGTTTAAAAACTGTACCCGGCTGTTGCAGTCATGTTGCTTTAATCAGTGCTTTCCAAGCTATCTAATGTGGGCAGACCTGCACATTCCTCCCTCCCATCCCCATGTCCCAAGGACTCAGAACAATATTTATGCCTATTGACTCCAATAGTTTGTTTTCCAAAAACTCATCAGGGACCAGCAGCCAGGGTTACTCAAAGTGATAGTTTTTGGACTGGTACCACTCCCTGAAGGAGTAACCCTGGCTTAAAAACCTGTTTTGTACAAAACTGATTTCTGAAGACTGCTAGAATTTTTAAATAGTGTGAGGACTCCTCTTTTGAGTTTTTCTATATCAGTCTTGTCATAGTTTGTATGCTGGGAGTTGCTATGTAGCTTTAGAAGTGGAAATGGAACTCTCCAAACATTAGTTGCTAGATGGCAACTAACATTATCCCTAATCATTGACCATAGTAGCTGAACATATATTTTTGAATTGCCACAGGTTTCCCATCTCTTCTTTAGAAAGTAACTATTAGTACTGAATGATGAGTAATAGAAAATGTGTGTTAGCGGTTTATTTAAGGAACAGAACTATAAATGTGATCAGAAAGAAATATAATGATATCATACAGTGAGTAAGGAGACAACAGTAAAATGATAGAGAGGGATGGAGTTTCTAGAAAAGGCAAAAACTGGTAGAGAGGGATAATGGTAAGCATAATTACTGTACATGTACAGTACCATCTGCTGTGTTTCCTTAATGACCTTCTAATCTAGATCTGTCAATGTTCTTTGGTCTGACTGTAGTTAAGATGCAATGTGAAAAACTACTCGTTTCTACGGTTGCAAAGGGTTACACATAGAAATGGAGTTATCACTTCTAACTGTGGCATGCAATCAAAAACTTTTGCAAGTGCTGTTGCTTTCAAGCATTGCAGTGTTACGAGAATCTGAAGAACAGAAACCCTGTTTTTATACAACTATATTGAAGGTATCTGTTCAGTCTGGGAATCCTACCTTGTATTTCTGAAAGCTGTAGCAGGAAAATAACGAATGAATGCTAAATTTTAGTATACAAATGCACTCTACAGAAAGAGTAGAGTGCAATGGTTATATTTTTATTGCTGACACTTGGGAAGGCAAGATTGTAAAAATATCTAAGACCTGTGAATTGAGCAGTTATGTTGTTTGATAACTAAAAATCATTTACTGTTATTAATGCACCCAGTCTCTTTTACATACCCTGTAGAACTGTGTGTATACAAAGAGAGGATGTGTTTGTGGGTGAGAGATGGTGGAAAAGAATATAACATAGTCCTGTAGTTTGATCTCTTTACATTTTGATATACAACTGATCATTGCTCAGAATGCCTTTGCATTTTATGAGGCATCACATTTCTCATTTAAGGACAATAATTATTTTGTGGCTTGGAGATGCACTAATGAATGAATTTCTAGCGTGACTATAACATGTTTTCATAGGCATGGGCAGCATCTTGTATTGTTGCTTTCTGGCAAAAGGAAGGTATGCAAAGTAAGTAAAACCATATTAGTATTTCGTCTTTAATGTTTGGTTGCTTTTAGTATTGGAATAAATCTGTATCTATTTTTTCTAAGCACAGCAAGAGCTCCCTTTAATGTTTGAAGTGTCAAGAACAAGTACCAAATGGAATGGTAAAGCTCATCTACCTTGGAGCTATTTTCCACCAGCCTTTGACAAATTTAATGCATTTGCAATTCATGGATCAGGAGTTAATAGAACATATGAAGCCCTGTACCCTGTCCCTCAACTTGAGATCCAGAAAGGACAGAAGCCTGATTTGTGAGTATATCTGTCATACTATAGTGACAACTAAGGCCCTTTCCACACAGCTGCATAAAATCCACATTTACCTGGATTATATGGTACTGTGGAGCCAGATAACCCAGTTCAAAGCAGATATTGTGGGTCATCTGCTTTGATATTCTGGGTTATATGGCTGTGTGGATGGCCACTGAGGTTTGGTACAAGAAGAAGAATATTTTATTGTTGTTCACATGAAGTGTAGCTAACAAACAAAGATACCACAGACAAATCTGGACTATTGATCTGACTTGATGTGATGTCACTTTTTCTGTTCATGCTGCATAAGACTGATCTTTTGTTCTGCTTATAGTAATCTCATTATTAAGTATGTTAACTTATTACAGTAAAATAACCTTTCCAAATAATCCTATTTCACATACTCCAGTTTGCAGAAGATTTTGAGACTTGTACTGTGGATATAATATAGTACAATAATAAAAGTATGCTTCTTAGAGTAGTAAAAATAGAAACATATCTTTATGCATACAAAATATTCCTACAGGATCCCTGAAGAAGCATGTTTTTCAGAGTGTGGATGAGTAACTGCCATCATTATGTATCTATTCAGTAAATCCTGTTTTGACCTTACACACAGCCATATAACCCAGAATATCAAGGCAGATAAACCACAGTATTTGCTTTGAACTGGATTATCTGAGCCTACACTGCTCAGTAGATTCAATGTGGATTTTATACAGCTGTGTGGAAGGGGCCTTATCCCCCATTTACTGGGAAGCAGCAGCTGCTGCAATCGATGAGGGTCTATTTCTCTGTTGCTCGTGAAGCAGCTGGTTAATGTTTCCATCTCATTTCATGAGCATTCTCCATTGCAAAAGGTAGAAGCAGGGTCTTTTTTCACAATGTTTCTTCACATAAAAATTGCTCATGTAAGGGGCAATGGGAACATGAATCATTTTCTTCCCAACTGACAGTGAAACAGTGTCCATCTATCACAGCAGAAGAAAGTGGGGAATGAGGGACTTTCACTGTCTCTCTGTGTTTAATAAACCATGCAAGTCATGTGCAGGGGCCATGAATACCAAACCATTGTAAATGTGTAACTCTAGATTACATGTTTGTCACTTCCAACAGGATTCCATCCGTGCTGTAAATGTACAAAGGCACTCCTGACTGCCATAGAAACCTTGGCTCAATGCTGAGTCCAGGAGTACATTCAGACTGTGAACCTGTGTCTTCAGGGGGAGTGTAACCCCATCTAACACTGGTTGAATCCCTATTCCGTGATCTCCCTTCTGACTGACCAGAATCATCTGTATCTTGTCAGGATTAAGTTTTAATTTGTTTGCCTTCATCCTGTCCATTACTCATTTAGGACCAAGACAGCCTCCTTGTTGTGTACTGGTTCTACAGATATGGGTGTTATACTTCACTGCTCTTATTCTTGTATGAAAAGTCAGAAGGTATAGGAAATAATTATTTATAACAATTTTGTAGTGCAGATATACAAATAATTGGCACATTTGCATACCTGTTTTTGAAATGGCAAAGATGTATAAATTAAGTTTATTTAAATTTCATTTAAATTAAATGCATTATTTATTATTTAGACAAATGTGTTGGGACTTGAAAGGAGTAAGTGTAAAAGTTTTAAATCCACCTGACCTCTTCATTCCTTTCTCTTGCAGCCATCGTTTAGAGTATTTTAAAAGTTTTAACCTAAAGCGGTTAATGGGAGATGATTGGAGGCAGCCGGAATCAGAACTGTGGGCATTATGCAATTAGGACAAGAAATAGCACACCAACTAATGTAAGACAGGTAAGTCATTGCTTCCAATAGATTGTAGAACATATAGGCATTAGACCTGTACAATTGATGAAAAGCATGATTCTAATACTCATTGCAAAATTAGGACACATTAGTGCGTGCCTCCTAATTTTGTAATGAATAATTACAAATTTTGTAGACTGTTTCTAAAATATCGTAAGTGTCCATTTCATTACTATAATGAGAGTAACAATTTTTTAATTACTATTTCATTAAGTAATTAAAGAGGGCTCCTTTCTCACTCATTTTTAGAGCTATTGAGGTGAAAGTTGCTACAATGGTAGAACATATTTACCACTGTTATCCCCTTCCCCCCAGGTTTCAGAACATTTCACTTACCTATTGATTTTTGGGAACTTTTTAAGGTTTTTACAAAAACATTTTTTTAAAAAACAAACAAAAGTACAAGAGCTATGTCCTGAGTTTCTCTACAATTACATAACATAACCAGGGCATCATTCCCCCCAGGATTCAGAAAAATTGACACATCACATGATTTTGGGAGAATTTTAATTTTTTTGTCAAAAGTTAAATCTTGTTTAGCTGCTATGGCTGACTGAAGTGAGGTGGGGTTGGGTGGGGGCCACACTTGGAGGACAAGAAACATTTTCCACTGCAAGCGCACGTATCAAGTTTCAGAATGTTTGGGTCGTCTACAGATTTTTAGAAAATTCTTAATGTTTCTAGAAACAAAATCTCCTTTAAAAGAAACCCAAAGGTATCCAACCAATGTACACAAAATAAACTGGCAGTAGCCCTAGAACAGCGTTTATCAACTTGGGGGGGGGGAGGTGTCTCGAGAAAACATATTTCTGATGGCCTTAGGAACCCCTTGTCAGAAAAGGCTGAAGATCTCTCCGCCTATCCTTCCTTTTTAGAAACAAATAGCAAATCCTCCCACCAAAAGCCCTCTTCCGCTGTGATTGGCTCTCAGCCAAGGGGAGGGCTGTTTCTGAGACTCCAAGCGGGGGAGAGGAGAGCAGGCGTGCTCACAGCATGGCTGAGTGGTGTGCATGTGCGGATGAGAGAGAGCGTTTGAGGCTGGAGGAGGCTTGCGCCAGTGAGTCCCTTCAAGACATGGGGGTTCTGTGTGGAAAGTTTGGCCCAATTCTATTGTTGGTGTTCAGAATGCTCTTTGATTGTAGGTGAACTATAACTCCCAAATGTCAACGTCTATTTTCCCCAAACTCCACCAATGTTCAGTATTCATGCCAAGATTGGCCCAGATCTGTCATTGTTTGAGTCCACAGTGCTCTCTGGATGTAGGTACAACTCCAAAACTCAGCACTTCGATACCTAATCTATCAGATAAGCAGCCTTCCTATATAGACTTTTTCCTCACATACAATTTTTGTAGCAAAATATTTCAGGCTTTAATCATTAAAGGACCTTGGTGTTTCAAAAGGTCTCCCTTGGAATGCAAAAAATTAAAAGGTACAAAAAGTTTTGAAAAAGTATGCAACTTATTTTTGCGTCTTCTGACACATGCTCATCTGTACTTGAATGTCAACTGTGATGATTATAGCATGCCTTCTGATAACTATCATTACTTCTATAGGAAATGAAGTGGGATGATCATTTTTTTGTGAAGCTCTACTTTTGTTTTCTAATGGATAGAAATCAAGATATAGTCCACCTGTATGTTTTAATGAATCAGTAATGGATGGCATTTGGAAGATGAGTGAAGAACAAAGATTTTCCTGGTCTATTATGCTGGGTAGACCTTTATTGGATTCTGAATATTTACCTTTTTGCAGCCTGAGCATGTAGTTCTTTCATTTTCAGTAACAGTTATTCAGCCTGCTCATGATATATTCCACTATCTCTGTTTCTTGCATTTTCAGTAAATTAACAGTAACTCATCAAAAGGATTTAGGATCCTAACAACTTGTCTTCATGGAAAATTTGTCCTTTGAACTTAAGCAAAACTAAAAAAAAAATGGGAAAAGGGTGAAATATGTTTCATTTAACTAGAAATATATATTGCCAAACTGTACTTTATTATTTAACTGGCTAATTTGTGAGTTATGACCAAGATCTCACCAGAATAACACAGCTTGACAGCAGGAGGACATACTCCCATGGGCAATTAGCAGCCAGGGGAGGGCAAGGGTTGCCTTCACAGTGTTTGTGGCAATTGTGCAGCAAAGATAAAATAACAACCATCACATTTCCAGATCTTCAGATAATATGTTGAATTATTCTAGCATATATTGAATGGTGATGGCTGTTACTTTCCCCTGCATGGCTGCAGCTATATAATGCCTGTTTCCTTATCTACTAATCTGCCATGAGAGCATGTTCCAGCTTCATCAAGGTGCAGTTGTGCTTGTGAGACATTGTGCAAAGTTGTATTGACTCCTTCTGAAGCTAGAGTCCTCCAGTTCTTGGTCCCTCAGACTATTGGGGAGCTGGACTATAGTATGAAAAAACAAATTCCTATGCACATTGCAAAGATCTTATTTGCCTTGTAATACCCCCCCCCCCAACAAAAAACTCCTCAATACAATATTTAAAACGAAGAAGAATTTTAACCAACATAAATTTACCAGTATTTTAATGGGAATGATGGGCCTGCTTTTGGCTGATAAGATAGTCAAGTTAATTAGGATTGTTGCTGTGTGCCTTCAAGTCGTTCCAGATTTAGGAGTCTAAAGCTAAGTCTAAAGCTTAGGACACGGGGCGGGTAAATGACCTTGAAGGGCTGCATCCTGTCCACAGGCCTTAGTTTGGGGACCCCTGTTCTATAGTGTTTCCAGAAGTACCTACCTTGGCACAACTCCTCTGAGTATTATTTGCTTAAGAAGGCTCTAATAAATTTATGAGAATTTATAAGTCAAAAGACAGTTTAAAGACACACACATTCCAGTATATGTCATCTATAAGATTTCCAGCTTCTATCTGGTGAACTGAAAGCAAACTGTGCCTCTGTACAGTGTGTATGAAACAGCTTTTCTTTTCTCATGCTAAACTGATTGTGCTTTGTGTAAAGAAATCATGAATCGACATATATTGATTTGTACATTTTTTTATTCTGGTCATTGACTGTTATCTATATATATTCAGGTGCTTTTACGTTGTCTCTTCCCATCATACATAGACCTGAGCTAGCTGTGCTCACTTTTAAGTCTGTCCTATCTTCATTTGATTTAAACATGTTTGTGTTTTAAATATATTTTAGATCCAAATAAAATACAAATTTACAAATGAATTATCATGTCTCTTTGTAAAATGCTATGCCCACTTTAACTAAGGGCTTTTAAAATACTATTCATACTTGTGGTGATATAACATTTCTGGTGTGGAAAGTGAGCAGGACTCCAGAGAAAGAACTTTTCATTCATATCAAAAATAAAATATTTAGCAATTGACATTGCAACATATAGATACAGGAACCTTTCCAGCAGAAAATACAGATTGCTGTAAATCATTGTCCATTTGCTGAACTGCACCAAAAAATATGAAAGACCTCAGGACATATTATGGAAGGATGTAAGAGATCATGGCTCAGCACTATTCCTAGCTGCTCTCAAAGGGGAAAAAAAATAAGAGAGGTGAATCTTTTAGCCATACTAGGCCACAAGTAGTCTACATACAAGCTTGCCTCCATACCAGATTGCCTCACAGGATTTGGAGCATGTTGAGCCACTAAAGAAGGGAAAATGAATCAAAAGTAAGATGTGACATTCAGATCACTAATAAAGCCCTTTGAAATTCATGAGGTCACCTATACATATTCCAATGCATGTCATCAAGACAATTCAGTTTGGGTCCAGGCTATTTGTCTAACCGCATCTCCCCATATAGACCACCTCGTGCACTGCGATCCATGGAGGAGGCCCTGCTCTCAGTCCCATCCCGGTCTCAAGCGTAGCTGGTGGGAACGAGAGAGGGGGCCTTCTCTTTAATAGCCCCCCATCTCTAGAACTCATCCCCAAAGGAATAAAAACAACCCCCACCCACCTCTCATTAAAAAAAAAAAAACAAAAGCTCACATTTGCTCACTGACACACGGAGAGGAGGATGATTACTTGATTGTGTCCAGCCAATAGACCGCCACCTGGAATTTGTTTTATACGCTGCCTTGTTGTCTGGGTAGGTTTTAGCGACATTCCAGGTAACTACAGTGAATTTTAACATCATTTAAAAATAACTTATTGATTCTTGTGATTTTTTTGTGTAGTGAGATTTATGTTTTTATATTAGATATAATTTAAATTAATTTTAAGTGGGTTGTTTGTTTAATTTGATTTGATATAGGGGTGTAAACTTGAGATTCCATCTGAACATGAGGAAGAACTTCCTGACTGTGAGAGCCGTTCAGCAGTGGAACTCTCTGCCCCGGAGTGTGGTGGAAGCTCCTTCTTTGGAAGCTTTTAAACAGAGGCTGGATGGTCATCTGTCAGGGGTGATTTGAATGCAATATTCCTGCCTCTTGGCAGGGGGTTGGACTGGATGGCCCATGAGGTCTCTTCCAACTCTTTGATTCTATGATTCTATGATTCTTACAGTATTTCCTAATAATTCAACAGGTAAGTTTTTTTCAAATGATTCAAAGTGCTGGCTTTAGCCTGTAAAGCCTTAAATGGCTCCGGTCCAACTTATCTGTTGGAACATTTCTCCCTCTATGAACCAGTTTGTAGATTAAGATCTTCCAGGGAGGTCCTGCTCTCGATCCCATCGACCTCACAGGCGCAGCTGGTGGGGACGAGGGACAAGATCTTCTCGGTGGTGGCCCTAAGGCTATGAAATTCCCGAGTGAGATCAGGTCGGCCCCCTCTCTCCTGACATTTGGAAGACAGCTAAAGACCTGGGTGTGAAACCAAGCGTTCGGCCCATCATAGGAAGTTAAAGTGAAGTTGAAAGTGCAGTGACCCAGAACTGTTTACGCACAATGGCTACGTTTTTGTGTGATATGTGATGTTATTTTATGTGCTGTATTTAATAATGTTGAATGTTTTATCAGGGAATGGTCAATTTTGATGTTTTTATACTGTATTTTATCGATGGCATTGAATTGTTGCCAACAATGTGAATCACATGAGTGCCCTTCGGTGTTGAGAAGGGCGGTATATAAATACCACAAATAAATTAATAAATTTATAAAGTGTAACCATCTCAATGTCTTCATTTCAAAGAGCACTTAAGATTACTTTCAAAGTATCAGAAATGGTTAATTCCATCAGTAATAGGAGGAAAAGGGGAAAGCTGAATATTACACTCAAATCCCAGGGGCATGGAGCTGCTATTAGATTTGTCTTTCTCTTTTATCATCATTTCATTTAAGACGTCAAGTATGTAGGTGGAAGCTGATTTTTTCTCTTTTTTATGTCAACTAATAACATGTCCCTGCCCTCTTCGATTTTGTTATATGTACAATTCATAAGCGGAATGCGTGAAGGGAAGAACACTTCGTTCCAGCTTCATAGGGCATTAGCTGTAGAACATATTGGATCTGTTCAGGTTTAGATATTGATGTTCTCTCATAAGTTTATAAAGGAAATGTATAAACAGGTTCTCCCCGTATTGTGCTGAAGCATCAATTGATTTAAAGTAATTTTTGTCTTTTCAGCATGAACACCGTGAAATACTGTTTATGAGTTTGGTAACAAAGGAACAGATGGTTTTAGTTTCAATAAGCCATTGAACTCTTCAGGTTATTGCAGAGAGAAAATTTGAGCTGATGTAATGCTACTTTGGAGTTTGTGAAAATGCCATTTGAAGGTCTTTATCCTTGGCCTTTTATTTACACGATAGGAAACTGTTTGCTTTAGTAAGTTGGCAGATAGAAATATTGCACTAAAAAATGAAGTGCACAACACCCATTCTGTGTTTTAGAAGCATTGGTTGTAGAATTTGTGTCTCCTCCTTCTCATTTATATATTTTTTCCTTTCCCCCACAGCTCTAGGAGTCAAAATACGACAGTATTGGTGAGCTTATCACGTATATAAATAAACTTTTAGAGAAAGTTGTTCCTCTTTTTAGTCAGGTGAAGCAAGACACTGTTATAACTGTAGCAGTAGATTTTTTAAAATCTTTTTGGGAAAAAAGTAATTGCTAGGTTCTTATTGGTAAAAAAAGTAATTGCTAAGTAATTGCTAGGTTCTCATGAAATCTATGAGGCAAAAGGAAGCTGGGCAGGGCATATAGTACCACAAAAAAAGGACAACTGATGGGCATGTTGACTAATGAACTGAATACCGAGAGACCAGAAGTGGCCCTTGGGAAGACCTCTTATTTAATGGGATGAACCAATGGTTAAGCTGTTCAGCCAGAAATGGAAAAGAAAAGCACAGGATCGCATATTTTGGCAAATGATAGATTTGTGTGAAGCCCAAAGGAGTGGCTTGACAACAAATTGGATAGGATAGGATTTAGCTTCTAATGCTTTATTGCTTTATTTATTTATTTATTTATTTATTTATTTATTTATTTATTTATTTATTTATTTATTTCCAGCCACAAATATCTACAAATTCTTTGCTTTTTGGCCATCCTCAAACACAGAATTTGCAAACAGTTCAGACAGCGGTATCTTCAACTTGTAACCACCTAAACTTTTCTGTTGTCACTCTCATCCCCCCCCCCCCCCCCCCCCCCCCCCGGCCACAAAAAAGCAGTGCCACATTTCTTCAATTGTGTGATGCCATCAATCGTAAGACACATCTTAATTTGAGTACCACTACAATCAACAAAAATACATAAGATACACCTCTGATTCTAAGGCGCAACCCATTTTTAGAAAAAAGTGTGTCTTTGAATACGGTATGAAGGAGAATAAGACAGAATGAGTTCTTTATTTAGAAGTACCGTTCGTTGTATTCAGAATAAACCTACTAAAATCACCAGGACTTCCATCATGACATATTTTAATCCATATTTTAGGCAGTGACAGGGAGAATGTTTGAACCACCAAGATGAAATGTTTCACCTAGCTTAATTTAGACAGCTTGCTGATTTTAAATTTTAGTCAATTATTAAAACTCTCTCAAGGCTAGCAAGTCATTAATTACCTCTTTTTGACAGTAACCATCTCAAAAGCCCAATTAATATTTGGCTCTGATAATACAGTCAGTATATAAAGGCTGATAAATTTTGTCCTGTCTGACAGCTTTTTTAAAAAATGAAAACTTTATTTGTGGTAGCTTTTATAGCTACCTGGTTTGTTGACCCTGTCCACCACTTCAAACTCAGCAGGTACTTTATAATTTTGTTGTATATCTGGGTCTTTCTCTCCTTACCAAATTGAGTAGAAAATCATGTTTATTTAATGCACATGTTTGATTTTTCCCTGTGGGTTTTATAATATAGTTGGGTTGCATGCTGATGAAGCAGCTATTTTATGCTCTCTTGCGAGATGGAGATTAGTTATGAGACTCTTCACTATAAGCTAGCTTTCTGAGTGAAATGCAGAGGATGAAGCAAACACTTTGTCTATTCTTTTGACAGAGAGTTTCTGGCAATGGACAGCAAATGAATTACTGTATTTGTTCATTTATAAGAGTAGAAATGTTAGTTAAAATGACCCAAAAAGCCTGGATTCACTCATCCATATGTTAATGTAACAACTCTCTCTTAAGTCTAATAAAAAGGAATCATTTCCGAGTATCAAAAAGGAATCATTTCTGCCCATCCTGGCTGGTAAAGGAAGACAGAGTGGGTTTGGCGGAGTGGGTGAAGGTGGCGGTTAATGCCTCCTTACAGGAACACAAGGTTCCAGCCACCTTAAAAGAACCTGTAATAAAACTGCTGTTGAAAAAATCATCACTGGAGAACAGTCAATTAGTCAACTTCCAATCATCTCTTTTTGAGAAAAGTCATGGAACGTGTAGTTGCCTTGCAACTCCAAGTGTTCTTGGAGGAAACAGATTATCTGGCACAGTCTTGTTTTAAACTGGGCATGGAATGAGGTACTCCTGGTCACTCGGAAGGCTGAACAGGGTATAGGATTACAGCCTGTGCTGGATGGGGTTACACTCTCCCTGAAGGCACAGGTTCTTGGACTCATCACTGAGTCTGAAACTCCAGGTTTCAGTAGTGGCCAGGGAAGCTTTTGCACAATTAAAGCTTTTGCAACAGTTGCACCCATACTTTGAGAAGCCGGAATTAGCCATGGGGATCAATGCTCTTGTTACATCCCAAATAAATTACTTCAACATGCTCTACGTGGGGTTGCCTTTGAAGACTGTTTGGAAGCTCCAAGTGGTCCTATGGGCAGCAGTCAGATTCCTCACTGGAGTGGAGTACACGGAGCACACAACCCCCTGTTACATCAGCTCTACTGGCTGCCAGCCTTCCCAATTCAAGGTGCTGACTTTAGCCTATAAAGACCTAAATGCTTACCTGTCTGAACGTATCTCCCTCTATAAACCATCGTGGATGTTAAGATCTTCTGGAGAGGCCCTGCTCTTGGTCCCATCTTCTTCACAAGTGTGGTTGGTGGGGACGAGAGACAGGGCCTTCTCAGTGGTGGCTCCTCAGCTCTGGAAGTCTTTCCCCAGTGGGATTAGATCAGCGTCCTCCTTCCTGGCCTTCAGAAAGAAACTAAAGACATGGTTATGGAACCAAGCTTTTGGCAAGTAAAGTAACGCAGTACAAGAAATAAATTTGGAATATGTGCAATCGACATTTGGAATGGCCCTAGTCTATGAATTTGAATCAGGTGATTTTATTGTTCTTATTAGCTGGTTTTCATTCTTATGTCTTCATGCCTAATTGTTGTTTTATCTTAGGTTTAATTATCTTATTGATTTTAATGTTTAGTTATATGTTTTATTTAGATCTATGATTTGGTTTATATGTATGTGAAGCATTGAATTTTGCTATTCTTTGTTGTAAACCGCTTTGAGTCCCATCCCCCCCGGGGTAAGAAGAACGGTATATAAATACAGTAAATAAATAAATAAATAGAGTGGCAAAATGTAAGATGTTAGTTTACCCAGGGAAAGCCTCAAAGAAGCACCAACTCCTTCTCTTCTCTTTTCCGTGGTACTTCTTCTAGCCTTCTTTAATGCAGAAGTGGAAAAATGGCAGCTTTCCCACTTTTCAATATGACCCTTAATTCGTTCAGAGGTCACATCAAAATCCATGATTTTGTCCTCAAAACCAGTCCCTGAGGTTGGCTTATACATGAGTATATGCAGCACTATTATCTGTATATACTCGTGTATATATTTATAAAGAGCCTGGTTGAAATTTCAAGAATTGCAGGAGTGTTCTCATTGATGCATATAGAAACAATCACTGGCAGCCCCATTTACCATATAGATCATAGTTGCTTTAGGCAGAAAATAGCAATAATCACATTTTCTGAATTTTCTCCTCTTCTTCCATTAGCTTCCAGTGGCACTGAATTCTAGATACAGGGGCATGTGTAGATGAAATATTCAACTATGCAAAACAGAAATGAATTTTCTTCCCACTTTGTGTGAACATGTGCCTCAAGTTGCTTGTCAACTTAACAGCAACCTGATGAAATTCATAGGGATTTCTTGGGCATGAAGTACTTGGGATGGTTTTGCTGGTTCCCTCTACTGAAATATAGCCTAGTTTTGTTTCCAGTTTCCCATGCAAGTACTAATTAGGCCTGACTGTTTATCAGATGGGAATGGTACCTTTGGGGTACTTTGGCCCCAACTCTTTCCTTTTTTTCATTTCTATTATTAAGCTTGTGAATTGCAGTGTAGATAGCATTTTAATAGACTAAAATGTCTATTAAAATTAATTCCCTGGTGGAGCAGTGGGTTAAACCGCTGAGCTGCTAAACTTGCTGACCGAAAGATTGGCGGTTTGAATCCAGGGAGCGGGGTAAGCTCCTGCTGTTAGCCCCAGTTTCTGCAAACTTAGCAAACTTGGAGGTGTCTACAGACAAGGCCGGCTCTTCGGCTTAGAAATTGAGATCAGCACCACCCGAAGTTGGACACAACTAGACTTAAATGTCAGGGAAAAACCTTTACCTTTAACTAGATCCCTAAATGATACCAAATTGAAATAAAATTTTGGAATTCTTGAAAATACATATGTACTCTTATAAGAATATAATTAGAATTCAGTTGTCTTGCTCTCCCTTTTATTAATGCATTGTTAGATTTATTCCAGTCAGAAACCTTGATTCTTCCTACTTTTGCCACTAGATGGGAGAATAAAGTCATCAGTGTTGTGTTTTAGAGATACCTGCTAATTTATCATCTAGATTTTGTTTTGAAATTGCTTTTAGAAAACAACCTTGGATTAGTTAGGTATAGTTTATTTGCTTTGCTCATTTCATGAATATAGAGAATATCATAACATTAGTGCTAGCATATTCCACTTATCTATTAAGAGTATATATGTTTACTTCTCAAGGGAATATGAAGTCTACAGTGATCATGAGTCAGTATTCCTCAGGAATGAAAAACAAGAGGTGAGTGTTTGTGTATGGAAGACATCATTCAAATGTTAAGGGACTGACAAGTATATTAAGAAATATTTTCAGCAGATAACGAGATTGAACAAAATTTACTATCATTTAAATGTTTCTATTTTTAATATTCTATTCTTTAATATACTTGATTGTATGAACATGTTGAGTTAAGATGTCAACACTATGCATTTCATCATATATACTTGTCAAATGATTTCAATTTTATTCAGCCTGAGTTGATGTTTTTATTTGATTGTTATTTGTTATTTGTCATTTGATTGTGTTTTATATTGTGCTTCATGTTTACGTTTGTGTTTTGGCACTTTGTGCTGTCTGTAAGCTGCCCAAAATCCCTTTTTGAGATGGTGGTGGTATATTTATAATTTTTTATTATTATTATTATTATTATTATTATTATTATTATTAGTAGTAGTAGTAGTAGTAGTAGTAGTAAATGGACACATTGGAAAAGTTGCTAGTTTCAGAAACTAAGATGAAACTGAACAGGCAGTCCCCAAGTTACAAACAAGATAGGTTCTGTAAATGAGCAGCCTCTGAAAGTACAGTGGAACTTGTTTAATAATAATAGCCTGAAATTATTTAGAACTCAATCTGCTGAGGCCAGTTCAAATAATTCTTTTTGTCTTCACATATATTTTTGTAGGAAGAATATAGAATAAAATACACCTGGGATAGTATACCCGTAATGCATGTACCGGTGACAATAACATTTAAACCTGGTGATCAGGGTTTGGTCATGGAAGTGGACTCCTTATTCTTTGATGATCCTCCAGCTCCACCTGGTGAACCTGGAAAGCCCTTTGATGGCCTTTGGGATTATGAAGGTGAGAAAATTATTTTAAAATCGCTTCTTTTTTTGAGTCTTTGAAACATCCTGTATGTAACATGGCAAAGCACATCTGAGACTGAGACTGGGGCCCCATCTACACAGACATATAAAATCCAGATTTTCTGCTTTGAACTGGATTATATGACAGTGTAGACTCATATAAACCAGTTCAAATCAGATAATGTGTATTATCTGCTTTGATAATCTGGATTATATGGCAGTGTAGAAGGGGCCTGGATCTACACTGCCAAATAATGCAGTTCCAGAATACAGCTTAACTTCATTACATGGCAGTGTGGACTATATAATCCAGTTCAATGGAGTTAAACTGCATTCTGAAATTGCATTATATGGCAGTGTAGATGGGGCATGAGAGGCTTTTCAAAGTCATGTAGGGACAGGGCATGACAGAATGCTTTATCAACTATTTCACAGTTTAATGCGCAAGCACTTAGGGTGACTAAAGTATATATAGCAACAACTCATTTATCCACTGGTGTGGTTAAGCTGAACCTGGAGGAGAAGGTTGTGGTAATGGTGGCAAGAAGAACATGCCTGTAGAAGTGATAGTTATAAGATAAAAACAATGTATAGTCTTAGAAATGGGAGGATGAGACAGTTGGCTCCAAGCTCCCTAGTCCCGTCATGCCTGGGTTTAGAGGGGACATGTCAAGACAGGAGGTTCTTATAGCCAAGGTGCTCTGAGAAAGGTGGCTTGGGCAACTGTCTATGCCATAGAACAGGATATTTCAAAACCACTATTTACAAAATTTCAGAATTTGGGGGTAAAAGAGACCCCCTTTGGCCCTCAAAGACCCAGAAATGACTACAAATACATGACTAGGGATTTGGAGGCATTTTAATGGATAGTTTTGGGGGTTTGGTAATAAGGATGCATCTCTTCAAGAAGCCTTGGGGGCAATGTGATATCCTAGGGCCCTTTTACACAGCTATTTAACCCAGAATATCAAGGTAGATAATCCACAATATTTGCTTTGAATTGGATTATCTGAGTCCACACTGTCATATAATCCAGTGCAATATGGATTTTATACAGCTGTGTGGAAGAGGCCTCAGTTTCCTGACAGATGACCATATATCTGATATACCCTATATTCTTTTTCACATATCTTTGTTTTTTCTCAGTTGTTGAATCCTTCTTTTTGAATAGTGCAACAAGAAACTACTTGGAAGTAGAACTCTGTCCGTAAGTATTACCACACAAAAAGAGACCCACATGGTGTCCGTTATTTAAGAGTGGGCTACATCTGAAAGTTGTGCATTGTCATAATGAGCCTCCCTAGTTTGATGGATGGATTATCCTTTCAAACAGTGTCAAGTTATAACAAGAAGCTGTTTTGTGAGGAAGATGTGGGAAAGGAAAGATGGAAAGGATAAAGACCAGGTCTGACACAGACATTAGGTCAAATCTAACTCATTGGGTCACATGTTGCATTTTTGAACTAAGGGCTCTTCCACACAGCCCTATATCCCAGAATATCAAGGTAGAAAATCCCACAATATTTGCTTTGAACTGGAATATATGACATTGTGTACTCAGATAACCCAGTTCAAAGCAGATATTGTGGGATTTTCTGCCTTGATATTCTGGGATATAGTGCTGCATGGAAGGGCCCTGAGTCTTGGGTTTCAGAGCATGTATAATGTTTACTGGGAGCCCCTGGTGGTGCAGTGGGTTAAAGCACTGAGCTGCTGAGTTTGTTGATCAAAAGGTCACAGGTTCGATTCCGGGGAGTGGCGTGAGCTTCCGCTGTCAGCACTAGCTTCTGCCAACCTAGCAGTTCGAAAACACGCAAATGTGAGTAGATCAATAGGTACCGCTCCGGCGGGATGGTAATGGCGCTCCATGCAGTCATGCCGGCCACATGACCTTGGAGGTGTCTACGGACAACGCTGGCTCTTCGGCTTAGAAATGGAGATGAGCACCACACCCCAGAGTCAGAGATGACTGGACTTAATGTCAGGGGACTACCTTTACCTTATAATGTTTACTGAAAGGAATTAGGGCTTAAAGAGAAAAAGTATATCTAGGCTTCAAACTAGGAAGACAAAATGTTATACCAAGGTTTCATCTATTTATTGGGCTCTGAAATTAAGCATATTGGACCCATTAACAGAGATAGATAGCCCTATATCCCAGAATATCTGCTTTGAACTGGGTTATCTGAGTCCACACTGCCATATATTCCCGTTCAAAGCAGACAATGTGGGATTTCATTCACCTGTGTGGAAGGGGCCTTATTTTGTGGGATGATGAGATAAGCCCTATTTTTAATGTTAGTGATCTCGTTGCCTAAATTGGCTGTTCAAAAAAATGTGTGCAGAATACTTCTCTGAATTTACCATGTCAAAAGAAGCTGCCTGTTCAAGACACCTGGGTGATGTGAGGGGAAAAAAAGATTTTAGGATATGTCACAAAACTCTTGAGAGTTCTATATGAAACATGGGTGCTCCTAAGAGTGCTGTTGCTTTGTTCAAAATACACATCAAATAAACAAATGTAGCATATTTGTTCATTTGTTTAGCAACTATCATTTAGAATGATTGTGGAGATGAACTGGGATGATTCTAAATGGACTGCTAAATTGCTCAAGAATAGGGCCATGTGTAAATGTGTCATAATAATAACAGATGAAATAACTATTGTGGAATATGATTTCCCTTGGAGTTATTAACACACCTCTGGTCTCTTGCTTTTTCATATGCAAATAGAAGGAAAGACATAAAATTATCACATGTGAGTCTTCCAGCATGGGAGATTTCAGTGACATGCTTCTCAACTGTTTTCTCTGTGAGATTCATTAAACGTTTGTTTGACAATCACATAGTCTAGTTAAATCAGCTTTGACAAGGCATTTGATTTCTCCACTTAATTGTGTATTTGTTTTGATAGGCATGGCCAACATCTTGTATTACGTCTCTCCAGAGGAGATTGTATTGAAGTAAGTAGAATTCCCCTGGAAAACTTTTCATTGTTAAATAAATGAAACAGTTGCCCAACTAAATGAAACTTTCTCACTAGTATCTTTGTGCACTATTCATAGTGTCTCTACTCTATAGTATATAAGGCCTGTCCAGACGGCCCCTTTATTGCGTAAACTTCCACAATAAAAAGGGGGCTGTCCAGACGACGTTCCAGACAGTCCCACATTAATTTGCTACAAACCAGGAAAACTCTGGTTTGTAGCAAATTAATTTGTTAGTGCATTTATTCCTCGCCTTCTTGGAAGGTGCGGGATAAATGCACCATTCCCACGGTTTACCCACTCCCCTCTCCCCAATCCCCCAGACCCTTTAGAAAAGTAAAAGAAAAACTTACCAGCCTGCAGTATTCCCTCTGTGCAGCTCTCCCAGGGTGTACAAATGATATGCCAGGAGAGTGGGGGGTGGTGGGGGGAGGAAAATTGTCCCCCCCCCCCCCGCACTCCTGCAGTGTAATTTGTATGCGCTGGGAAAGCTGCATGGAGGGAATACTGCAGGCTGGTAAGTTTCTTTTACTTTTCTAAAGGGTCTGGGGGCTTGGGGGGGGTAGGGCCTCCCCATGATCTTTTGGGCTAGTCCCAAGAGAATGTGTGGACAACCCACCTCAGAAAACGTGCTTTCTGGGATGGGTGCGGACATCCCTCCCAAAATATCCACTTTTTTAACGTGGATGCTTTTGGAATAAAGGATTGTCTAGATCCGCACAGAGTTATTTGCACACTCATGTATGATGACATTATAGGATATATATAATCGTTATATGTGCAAATCTTGCCCCCTCTGCATCTTAATAAGCATTCCAGTTGGAATAGCTTTCATTGGAGATGCCAGAATGTAGACCTTTTTGATTGACAACTACTATACTGAATATACTATAGGGATGATATACCGGCCAGCATCAGCCGTTTGTAATGTATTAGTTTAAATATTTAGAATTTGTAGTTTTGACTGTGTTGTTTTTATATATATTGCTAGCCACCCAGAGCAGCTATGAGGAATACCAAGGCATACATTGAGTACCTAACAACTATAATACTAATTCTGTATTTTGTATCACCATTGCCTGTTAAAGGCAATACAAAATAATTCCATGTATGAACACATCTTTAAATAGCAGCCAATTGTGAGAAAGCAGGGAAGCTTAGTGGTTAAATGGGGGGGGGGGGGGATATATACATGGCAGAAATGGTGGTGCTGATCTGGAGTGGGGTATTCCAGATCAGCATCACTGAAGTCCACAAGGCCAACTTCCAAGCCAGCCCAGAGGTTGGATGGCATCCACACAACCCAGCAGTGCCAGACCAGATTCAGTGCCTGTGGACTGCCAACCATTTTTGATCTGAATGTAGCAGCAACCACCGGGCATGAAACTACTGGCATACATTTCTTGGTGTCTGTAGTGATGCTAGCTGGAGAAATGAAACAACATAAGAGAGGGCAGGGAGGAATTGCCTCCTCCTTTTGCTCTTTTTTTCTCCAACTTGTTGCTTTGGCTGGAGTGACTACAGGTGCCAAGTGATGACCACAGTTCCATGCCCAGTGGTTGCCACTACAGCCAGAACAATGAGGGAAGGCAAGTGCCATCCCCATCCCCAAGCTGCCCAAGCTTGGAGAAATCTGGATGGTGGTGAAAACAGGCATGGCCACTTGTGAATAAGAAGTGGCTGAACTCTTTACATTGGCCCCAAACACATGCAAGTTCTGAACATCAGGGAAGCTCCAGAGCATCCCGTGGCATTTTTTTTTTTACATGGGAGAAGGTGAATGGTTCCTGTGCATTTGATGACTCGGAGTCCATTCACTTCCAAGCCAACTCATTTGGCTTACGTAGATTTCATTAACAATGCAATTTTGTCTGTCTACCCAAAAGTAAGTCCTTTAAGCTCAGTAAGATTTCTATCCAAGTAAAGATTGCAGTTGATGTGACTGATTTTAGTTCCCAGGTTTGAAGTCAGAAAATTATAAAGCACAGTTGTCATATGGTTAATATATTTGCAGTGACATCTTAGTCCCCTGCTCAATACAAACTCTGACCATGGCATAATCTAAAACGACCTCATAAATAACTTTCATTGTATGTTCAAGGGAGATTACTCATAAGTAAATATATGAAATAATGGGGCCCATATGTACTAGTCTCTCAAGAGCAAATATAGTTATTCTACTAAAGGATTTTGCAAGGTATTGCAAATTATAGTATAAGCCGTGAACCTTTTGCCTCACGTATAGTCTTTAAATAGTCAATCATTTTGTTCATGATTTTTTAAAATATTCCCTTTCCCCCTTTGATATTTTTCTGTTCTGGTAATTACAGGCTATGAATTCATTTCATCATCTGCATTAGTGTTTGGAACATAAATCACAGTAATGCTGTTAAGTAATGCCAGCACATCTGCAAATCACTTGCAAATTGGTTTCATGGAGCTTATTCTATCAAATGAATTTAAAAAGAAAAACTCCCTCACCTGTTGACAAATTCTGCATTTACATCAAAGTTTTTATTATGCTATAAATTTATCTGAGACCATTTATTCCCCTGTTTAGTACTGAACAATTTGGCAGTCCTTGAAACTCTCATAAGCAATGCATATATATTTCCATGGAACAGAAAAAAGGAGCTTTATGTGTCAGAAGCTAATACTCAAGGGCCATGCTATGGAAATGCATAATAAATTATTTACATATTATCTCATTTTAAAATTCTGGACAGTAGTGATATCTTAGCAAATGGTTTCACTATAAAAACTATGATGCAGTTGAAATCTATGTTGTAGAACAAAGTACAAATTATATGGCATACATAAAAATGAGAAAAAAGCATACTTTCTGGTTTTATTTGACACTTCCCCATTCATGAGATAAATGGGTCAATACTAATAAGAATGCCTTATTTTAAGCATCTGTACTGTTAAAAAATGGCAGCAGGAAAAGTAAAATAGTTTGTGCCATTAGCGGCAATGGGTGTCACAGGAGAAAGTGGGTGGGTGGGAACCAAGTGAACAAACACAATTTAGAATTCAGTTAAAAATGGAACAACAACAACAACAACAACAACTTTATTTTTGCATCCTGCCTCCATCTCCCCAAAGGGACTCGGGGCAGCTTACATATGGCACAATGGGCCTGGAACAACGCATAAAATAAAAACAACACAATAAAAAATAAAACCACAAGCATATAAAACAATTATTTACACTTTGATAGAATTGGTCTCACTAATTGGAAGCCCAACAAGTTACAGGGAACAGGGAACTCCTTTGTTAAAACAACTTCATTGTGTACTCGGTTATTCCTGGGACAATTTCAAAGTGTTCCTACAATCATAGAATCATAGAGTTGGACTTGGAAGAGACCTCTTGGGCCATCAAGTCCAACCCCCTACCAAGAAACAGGAAAATCACATTCAAAGCACCTCTGACAGATAGCCCTCCATCTCTGTTTAAAAGCTTCCAAAGAAGGAGCCTCCACCACACTCCAGGGCAGAGAGTTCCACTGCTGAATGGCTCTCACAGTCAGGAAGTTCTTCCTCATGTTCAGATAGAATCTCCTTTCCTGTAGTTTGAAGCTATTGTTCCATTGCGTCCTAGTCTCCAAGGCAGCAGAAAACAAGCTTGCTCCCTCCTCCCTATGTCTTCCCCTCACATATTTATACATGGCCATCATGTCTCCTCTCTGCCTTCTCTTCTACAGGCTAAACATGCCCAGCTCTTTAAGCTGCTCCTCATAGGGCTTGTTCTCCAGACCTTTGATCATTTTAGTCACACTCCTCTGGACACATTGTCAACATCTCCCTTCAGTTGCGGTACCCAGAATTGAACATATTATTCCAGGTGTGGTCTGACTATGGCAGAATAGAGGGGTAGCATGACTTCCCTGGATCTAGACAGTATACTTTTATTTATGCAGGCCAAAATCCCATTGGCTTTTTTTAGCTGCTGCATTACATTGTTGGCTCATGTTCAACTTCCTGTCCATGAGGACTGCAAGATCTTTTTCACATGTACTGCTGTAGGGCCAGGCGTTCACCATTCTGTATCTTTGCATTCCATTTTTTTCTGCCTAAGTGGAGTATCTTGCATTTGTCTGTTAGTTTTGGCCCATCTCTCTAATCTGTTAAGATGGTTCTGAATTCTGCTCCTGTCTTCTGGAGTATTGGCTATACCTCCCAATTTGGTGTCATCTGCAAACTTGATGATCATGCCTTCTAACTCTTAATTGAAGTCTTTAATAAAGATTTTGAACAGAACTGGGCCCAGGATCGAAACCTGTGGCACTCCACTCATCACTGTTGGCTAGGACCACTGTTGGTTAGGACCTATAAAGAATTACTATATATACTTATGTGTACATCTTGAAATTTTGTCAAAAAATTGACCCTCAAACATGATCTATAGCTCTAGGGCAACCTAAAAGAAGCAGTGACAACCCCTACTCCCCAATTCTCTCTGCCATCTTACTTACCACTTCAGGCCGTTTTGAATGCCTGGACAGGAAAATGGTGGCAGCCAGGGGCAACTGGTCCTTTGAAACAGCACAGATGCTTTCCTCTTTTGACTTAAATATAGGTCATATCAAAAACCATAATTTTGGCCCCCAAACTTGCTCTTGACTTGCTCTTGAGTTTGTTTTCCAAACATAATTATTACTGAAAATAATTTTGTTATAGGCAGGAGATAGGTGTTAAAAACAATTTTCAACAGGTATCAAATATACTAGTCATGTCACTAACGAAATAATTACAAAAATGTAATGATCCAAAAAGCTATAGACCAACCTCCTTGTTGTGTCATTTTTATAAAGCTCTGGAGAGACTTATTCTGCACAGAATTATGGAAAAAATAGACCCATTTATGATCCCACAGCAAGCTGGTTTCAGGAAAGGGAAAAGCTGCACATCACAAGTGCTGAACCTGACTCAACACATAGCAGATGGTTTTGAAAGGCAGCAGATTACAGGAACTGCCTTCCTGTCAGCAGCTTATAATAATGTAAACAACAATGTATAATATCAGAAAGGATTGTCACCTCACCCACTTCATAGGAAATCTGCTACAAAACAGGAACTTTTTTGTTGAGTTTCAGGGTCAGAGTGACATCTCTGGCCCATCATCTGTTCAGATATCAGTTAGCAAGTCAATGCCTTCAATCAAGAAATAGCTTCCTAAGATCTATAGAGATACTCGCAGTAACACCTCAGCAAGTGACAATCCAAAAGTGGCAAGTTAAAACCCGGAACCTCAATCAGTGGCTGATACCAGATGAGAAAGTCCCTCCTGGGCACACAGAAGACTGGGCAACTTGGAAGGGGCTGAACAGACTGCGTCCTGGAATCCACAAGATGCAGAGCTAACCTTTAGAAATGGGCCCACAAAGTTGAATCCACAACATGCGAGTATAGGGATGAGCAAACCACAGATCACTTACTACAATACAATCTGAGCCCTGCTGCATGAAAAATGGAGGACCTTCTTACAGCGACACTATAGGCCAGGGGTCCTCAAACTTTTTAAACGGAGGGCCAGGTCACAGTGCCTCAAATTGTTGGAGGGCTGGATTATAATCTAAAAAAACATGCATCAATTCCTGCACACATCTTATTTGTAGTGCAAAACACACTTTAAAACAATACAATAATTAAATGAAGAACAATTTAAACAAATATAAACTTATTAGTATTTTAGTGGGAAGTGTGGGCCTGCTTTTGGTTGATGAGATAAGATTGTTGTTGTTATTTTTTGCTTCCAAGTCATTTCAGACTTAGGCTGACTCTGAGCGAGGGCTGGGTAAATGACCTTGGAGGGCCGTATCCGCCCCCCGGAGCTTAGTTTGAGGACCCCTGCCATAGGCACTCCAAGTAGCCAGCTTCTGGTCAAAGAAAATTTAGTATAATGCCAAGTTTTTAACTTTGTGGTTCTTCTATATACATTGTAACTGTATTCTCGATTAGCTTCTGACACAATAAATAAATAAACAAAATTTTCTTTAGTTAAATTGAATTTCCTTAAAGACAAATGTTGCTCTGGGTTCAAGAGAGTTTAATCAATATCACCTGAAAATATTTCTCTGTGTAATGCTCTTTTCCCATGTTCAAAACAGACTTCAAGAAAGGCATAGTCTAAGTGCAAAACTTTGGCTTGGGCAATGACTGTATCCTATTTGCTTAGTAGTCCCGTTTGATGTTAATGCTTTGATTTCAGTACAAATAGTTTCAATTAGCACATCTCCATAACAAGAACGAGGATAGATGCTTCTGTAAGCAGCTGGTAGCTGCCACTTCACAATTAAAATTCTCTGATTCCTGCTATTTATTTGAATTTAGGTCCGCTCCAGGGATTATGCTTCCATTTTAATCTATTTTGTCAGATGGCCACAAGGAACACATATTGAAAAGCTGAAAGCAATATGGTTCCTGTACACAATGCTGAAAAACTAAGCAAGAAATCCTCTTGCTATTGTGAATTGCCTGAAAGGTTTTTCAACTTCACAGGTTACCTTAATATACCGTATGTTGATGTACTTTCTGAAAAGTCATTTCACACAGAGCTAAATATTTTAAAGTATAGCAATATAGTATGTGGGATACTCCCCTAAATTTACCATGGAAACTGTAGCTAATAGTGAACCCCATTGAATGACTTCTCTTGAAAGTCACACAGAAGATACCAGCAAACAGATGTCCTTTGCTAGGTTATCCAGTGTGACTCTGTGGTTATTTCTAGCAGAAGCATAAAATGGAATCACCTGAGGGACTTTGAAAATTTCTAGAGAAGACGTACTGTGATGGATGCTACTGGTGAAACCACGGGCACTAGTCCTGTGGGTGCAGCAGCCTACCACACAATGTTTCCTTGATCTTTGGTAGACATTCACGTATGTCTTTTAAAATAGTTTTATTACGTAATATATGGAGTGCAGATGCGAATCTGGTGTAGAAAAAATAGCTATAAGGTTTTTTTTAAGTGTAATTTTTCCTTCCTTTGTGTAGAAAGAGCTCCCATTGTCATTTAAAGCAGATATAAACGGGGGCACTTGGAATGGCACAGCAATTATTCCTTGGAGCTATTTTCCCCCTGGTGTAGACAAGATGAATTCATATGCAATTCATGGATCTGGGATTGGAAGAACATATGAAGCACTTTATCCAATACCACCAAAAGAGATTGAAGAAGGCCAGGGTCCTAACTTGTGAGTACAATGCCCCCCTCATTTCTCTTCCTTTGCTTTTTTGGGTAATTTTGAAATATTGTTTCCTTGCAAAGTTACTTAGATAACAAATTTAGAAAATCTTCTTGGTTTACACTGAAGTATTGAAACATACACTCTGTGTTCTTTGCATTGCACTACAGGGACTTTTTATGATGTGTAAAAGCAGTAAAAAAGATGTACAGGTCATAAATGTAATGAGGAGACATGCTATTTTTCCACAATGCATCCAACACATCTGATCTTTGACTTCCGCATTATTCTCTAAATGAATCCCAAGATTATTAGACCCACCAGGAAAGCATTTCGTAGCAAAACAGAGCAATATATCTCAATCCAATGTTTATTACTGTTCTCCCCTTTGGATTCTAGTGTGTTTATTCAGAACTCTGTAACAGTAGTTTCCAGATCTGGATCTGTAATGTTACAGATTTTTTTGGAGTACAACTCTTAAAAGGATGACCAATAGTCTAGGATTCTGAGAGTTGTGGTCCAACAATATTTTGGGAACTGTATAGGAAACAACATATCACTTGCCACTAAAGTACCAACAATTGATGTATTTCACTGTTGTGTAACACTTTCATCTTGATTATTTGAATGTGCACAATTCAAATGATATTTTGATAAAATTTAGTAAAAGCATTTTGGCAAAACGGTGTTTTTCAAGAACAGAAATATTATGCCACGAAACACACAAAACAAACCAATATGTCTTTCACAACCTATACACTTCATCACTTCTGTTGAATGTCTGAAATGCTAATCATTTACAAACATACTGTTTTGACCAATATTGTAGGAACCTCTTTTGGGGAAAAAATAAACACTCTGCCTTTAAGTAGAAAAAGTTGCTATCCTACATCACTCATCTGGCCTATGATCCATTGAACTTCTTTAGAGACATGTAAATGATTGTAGTGTAATCATTTAGTCACCTAATGCTATTAATTATTGAAACATACACATGTTTCATGCTTTAATTCAAAGAAGGAAGACATTTGTCAAACAAAAAATTACTGTTCTTGTTTCATTACTGTTCTTTCTGTCTAGGTATACATACAGTTGTCTCCCTTATATTAGAGAATCATAAATTGATACCAAAACAATTATAACATCATTTTAAAGAGGAGTATGGTGTTTTTTTAAATGCACAGTAGATATTTAGGATTTTAACAATTCTTATGTTTATTTTTTTTAATAGCCACCGTCTAGAATATTTCAAAGATTTCAGTCTAAACAACATAATGGGAAATGACTGGACTCAACCACCATCAGATCTGTGGTCATAACTTCAGAAGCTCCTGAAGTCAAGTCAGTCAACTATAAGTCACCTGCAAATTTTTAGATATGAAAGATGGCATCTTTAATTGGTTGTATATTGTGGTCTTAATTGGACTGTCAAGTAAAATAAACAAACCGATTACTTCTTTCATTGTCACTTATCCTGCTGTTTTGAACCAATACATATTCTTCCTCCTTATAAACCATACTTCATACATGATCAATACGGATGATTTTTTGTCTTTGCATTATCTGAAGCCAATGATCAAATGATGCTAATGATGGCTTACAGCAGTAGTTCTCAACCTGTGGATCCCCAGATGTTTTGGCCTTCAACTCCCAGAAATCCTAATAACTGGCAAACTGGCTGGGATTTCTGGGAGTTGTAGGTCAAAACACCCGGGGAACCACAGGTTGAGAACCATTAGCTTATAGTGTTAATATGAAATAAAAATATTGCAAAAACAATCAAAACACAATAAAAAGTAGAGAAAAATCAGAAATGGACAGAAGAGCAAGCATATAATCCAAAAACTGGAGACAGAGAATAAGAATACCTGATTGACTCCAAAAATGACATCAAATTATGTCCTAAGCAAGTCTTCCAAAGAAAGGAAGACTTATCATCAGGGTACCTGAATAGGAAAGTTCTATTCTCAAGGCATCCGCTGCCACATCTGTGATGGTATAGGGTACTAGAAGAAGGGACACTGAGGATGGCCTGAAGACAAAGGTGAGTTAATATGGAAAAAAACAATATTGTAAATGCTTTGAGCCACAAAAGGTCAGGAAGAGGACAATCTCATTATTTTTACCTGTATTTCTCATTTCTTCTTGCTGGAACACTTTGGACTGTTATCTTTTGCATGGTACTGTCTCTAACCACCTATTCACATTGATGAATCACTTCTCGGTGCTGCCGACACAGACTCTGCCATAACCCATCAAATGACACAGGGCTACTTCTGGTGGGGTTCTATTGGACTCCATGCCAGCACTGTGTCGGCAGCACTGAGAAGCAAAGCCCAGAGTTGGGTGTACACCTGACTCCTCATACAAGAAGCCAGGGAGAAAGTAGGAGGAAGCTAGGAACAACATGGAAACGTCATGGGATGGGATCTCACGACCACCGATGGTAAAGGGACAAAGCCTTACGTTGCCCCACAGTTTTCCTCGCTATCCCCCAGCTTCTTGTCCTCCATGTGATGAGGTCCTAGGTCTAATATAGTTTTCAAGTTCTGTCCTTCATGGAGTATTTGGGGACAGCATCCAGCTCATTTCTAGAAAGGATACCTCTTTTTGAGAAGTGCATTACACAGTGACTGGGACAAAGAAATGTATTCTGTTATGTGCTTTTGCCTTCATTAGAGCAGTATATATTAAGCAAAAAATGCCCCATTTTCTTCAGGTTTCCTACTTAATGAAAAACGTCTTGTTTTGACTAAGAACAATTCTAGGACCATAAGAATGGGATGTAGGTCTATTACTCTGCACAGTTACTCTGTACTGAAATCTGTACTGAATCAGTACTCTACTAATAAGCAGGTCTTGATTTCATACTCCTGTTAATGAAATCAAGTTCTTAATTTCATCTTTTCTCACTTTGAAATCCTAGTGCATAAGAATATTGGCATTAATGGTCACCCATAAATGTGCTGAAAAAACACTGGGATGTTGAATGCAATCTCTTTATTGTCTATGATACACTATCCTTAAGAAAATGGTTAGAATTCCAGGTAAAAAAGCTTCAAGGATTAATTTGGATCATCAGCCCTTAAGCCTTTTCCAGCATCGTTTTTAATTTATCACGTAAAGTGTGTGTTGGGAACTTTAGAGTGCATACAGTTTGCTTTGCAGACTATTATTAACCAGAATAATTCTGGATTAATTTAGCAGCCAGGTCTGCTCTTCCAGCCATAAGCCATGCTGTCAGGGAAACCTAATTACACTTTAAGTGGGATGCAAATGAGTTGTGACACTACATCATTTCACATGAAAGGTTCATTACTTACATTAAATCACACAATTCTCTTTCCTAAGCACAGGCTCATTACATTTTTTTAGTATATTTTAACATGGTCAAATGTGAAAATGACATTTCCCGTAATACGGACCTTCTTAAATGCAACTCCCTCCCTTAATAATTTAAGCTTTAAATTGTTGACATAATGGATCAGTATAAAGTGAACTCATTTTAGGAAGGGTAAATGTGTTCCTTAACTTCATAATTTGTCTTTAATATTTAAACTTTATGCTTCTTAAGGTACTGAATTGGTATAAATTGAACTAGTACACACACAATTTTAAAATAATTTTTAAAAAGTCATTTAAGTCATCTGTATAGCTCTATCACATGTTATGAATTAAAATTTACTATATTTCCAGAACATGTGGCATCAAGGTAACAGAAATATATTTTCTGATTTTATCTTGAATGGGATTCAAAGCAGTTTACAGCATAAAATCAAACAGAGCAGTTATGGCATGAAGTTCATTTTAAAACATTAATAATGGCTCTAATTAAAACAGTTTTAAGCATTAAAATGGAAAATATTTAAAATACATGTTGTTTATTCATTCATCTAATTCTAACTCTTTGTGATCTCATGGATCAACCCACACCAGAGCTCCCTGTCACCTGTCACAACCCCCAGCTCCTTCAAGGTCAAGCCAGTCACTTCAAGGAAACCATCACTCCACCTTGCCCTTGGTTGGCCCCTCTTTCTTTTTCCTTCCATTTTACCCAAAAACATTATCTTCTCCAAGCTTTCCAGTCTTATAATGTAGCCAAAATACTTCATCTTTGCCTCTAATATCCTTCCCTCCAGTTAGCAGTTGGGCATTATTTCCTAGATTTGGTTTGGTTGTGCATTTAAGTAACTGGATCAAATTTTGCCAAAGTTACTGCTGAATGTTTTTATGTTGAATTTTTTTATGTTGAATGTTTTTATATTGAATGTTTTATATTGTGTATAAACTGTTTTAAATTGTAAGTCGCTCGGAGCACCTTGGTGGAGAACGACTAATTAAGAAATAAAGTGATGATGATGATGATGATGATGATGATTTTGGACTGGTTTGATTTTCTTGTGGTCCAAGGCACTCTCAGAATTTTCCTCCAACACCACGGTTCAAAAGCATCTATCTTCCTTCACTCAGCCTTCCTTATGGTCCAGCTCCCACATACATAGATTACTATGGGGAATACCATTGCTTTAACTATGCAGACCTTCATTGCCAGTGTGATGTATCTAATCTTCACTATTTTATCAAGATTCATCATTGCTCTCCTCCCGAGAAGTAAACGTTCTTTGATTTCTTGGCTGCAGTCTGCGTCTGCAGTAATCTTCACTCCTAGAAATACAAAATCTGTCACTGCCTCCACATTTTCTCCCTTTATTTGCCAGTTATCAAAGGCACAAATGGGGAGCAAAAGGGAGAAATGTGTCAAGAGGAATGCATTTCAAGACAACTCTGACGAGGATCATCTTTTATCTGTAAATGGATGTCCTCACTGCGAAAGACCATACGTATCCAGAATAGGTCTCTATGGTCACCTATGGAACCATAGCTGAGACTCTACATTTAGAAGGCAATTACACTTGGCCACTATTTTCATGATGATATGTTGATTTGGCCTGTGTAGATAGGTCCTGAGTGGCTTTGAACCAAAAATTAAATATCAGCCTAGACTATTTCAGGAGTTTGTTGTGAAGATTAAATGGACAAGAAGTGGCGATTGTGCAAGCTGTCTTGCATCACTTGAAGGAAAGAAAACAGGATATAAATATAACTCTGAATATGGGGGGGGGGGCAGAATTGCTCCTATCAACTGTTGCATCTCAGAGGATGTTCACCTTGCTCAAAGCACTCACCAGGAAACCAAACGTGGTAATAAGCAGTTTATTGATGAAACATATAGAAGAAAGGGCCAAAGGCACCTTAGCAAACGTACCTATAGAAAGCAAGTCCCAATAGGCAAAAGGTAATTCCCCCAAAAGAAAGGTAGACTAATCTATAAAACAAAGAACAAAGCAAGAGCTTGAATCCATAGATAAATCCTTCACACAGGAAGCAAAACTTGACTAGGAATCTTGTGCCTTGAGCTTAAAGTATAACCAGGAACAAGACAGGAGTTTCCCACTCCAGTAGTAACGTTGCTTGATCTAAAAATCCTAACAGCTCTCTCCCTAATTTAAAGGCTGCAATACATGAAAGCATTCTGGTGACCTTGAGGGGCCTGTTTCTGCCTCTCCTTCCCATGGACTTGATTGCACCTGGATTTCTTCCCACACAGGAGTAGCCTTGTTTCTCTGTCTAACACACTTCTTCGGATAAGCTCATGTTATCCTCCCATCCCTACCTGTCATCTTCCAAAGCAGTTTCGTTTTCTGACACAGAAACAACATCTTGCTCTAAAACCCCCTCTGTTCTTTCAACCAGAGAACCACCCTGCTCCAACATCCCCTCTGTTTGGGCACCCACAGAACCATCAGGCCCTGCACCCCTAAACCCCTCATCGTCATCAGCTGGCTGAACTACAACATCAGCATTCTCTGTGCCCACAAGCATCTTGTTCATGCTGTCATAACAAATTGGATACAACCACCAGTATAATTTTTTGTGATTCGTTTCTCCTATTAATGTTTTTATTAGATGTTTTTAATTTTTATATTTCATGTTTAAGTGTCCTATTATCTTGTGGCAAATTTGTCCCATTGTATTTTATGCTTGGTCATATGCTGTTTGATTTATGATTTGGTTTATGTACGTAATGGCATTGAATTTTGCCATTATTTTTTGTAAAGTACTTTGAGTTCCCCCTGGGGTGAGAAAAGCAGCATGTAAATACTCTCTCTCTCTCTCTCTCTATATATATATATATATATATGTGTGTGTGTGTGTGTGTAAGTTTTGTGAAGTTCAACTTGGTATTTTTCTGGAATAAAATAATTTCCAACAAAGCCACAATACCAGTTTGGCTTCCAAGTGTTAGGGAAATTTCCCCAAAACAGCAGAAGCATTTAAAAGGCAAAAAGAACGCCTAATAGAGCATCTTAGCTCTCAGCAAACAGAAAGCAATACAGTATGTCTGTTAAGAATTCTTGAACTTAAGGAATCAAGATACAGAGTTAAATCTTAATAGTTTCA